TAGCAGTAGCAGTAGTCGTCGTGGTGGTGGTGGTAGTAGTAGGAGGTAGTTAGCAGAAATGGTAGCACTAGCAGCAGCAGTAGTGGCAGCAGCAGTAGCCGTAGCAGTCGGCGTCGTAGTAGCAGTAGTCGTAGTAGTAGGGGTACCAGCAGTAGTCACTAATCAGTAGCAGTGACGAGTGCCCAAAAACACTAGTTTTCGGCATTGCAGTCGTTTTGATAGTCGTAGTCTGTGTCTTAGTCGGAGGTGAAAGATTGATTATGAAGGTGGAAAAGACGTGGATGATGTTAACCAGTATTTTACGATTTTTACGAGGCATAGATGCTGAGCAGGGGGAGGTCGTCCCTCGACCAGACGGCTACATTTTGCAAGAGCAACTTGCCTGAGCCTAGGCGAAGGGCTTGCCTGTGGTGTGCTGGATCCAGACTTCGCTGATCCTCTTGATGGAAAGTTGATTTTGGAGAGGGGCTTTCGGTACACCCTCGAGTTGGAGTGTGAGGATGAGTCCCTAAATTTCTCACGCGTGGTCGGGTCCGTGCGCTGTGAAGCGAGGGATGGGCTGAGTGGTTTTGGCCTGGCGATCATGGAGGTCCCGATACCAGGTCATGGATCGCCATCACAATCGCAAGAAATCCGCGTCTTAGTGTTCACGAGCGAATCAGATCGAGATGCGCTGGCCAGTTTGCTCGAAGATCTACAAAGCGACCGCCGGTCTTTCCGTCGCCGTGGTGTCTCACTTCTGGCCTGCCTGCCCGGTGCTTCCAACTGCCTGGCAGGCTGTGTCAAGCCACTGCGCAAGGCACCCACTCTGCCGCACGACATATCGGAACTGTCAGCGCGACTTTCCCGATCTGGGGATTTGGGAAAGACCCGGCCAGACAAAGAAGGATGCACAGCAAATTTGGAGGACTTCAAGGCATTTGCCAAGCAGATGTTTGATCGCCACGCAAATGCTGCCACCATGCGCTCCTTGCCTTGACTACTGTAGATTGTAGATGTTGCTTCTTAATCCAATCGTTAAGTTTGAGCCGAGCGCTGCTTTCATGGAATGTGTAACAGAGCCAGGAAGAAGTGGAAGCTTGGGAGACCTTTCCAGTGCATTCCGCCAGCCCGTGCCAAAGTCGTGGTAGATGTTACCACCGGTGCATTGCAGACGTCCCAGATCAGGCCGCTTCGGCACATGCATGCTTTAAGGTACAGTCGACGGAAAGAGACGAAAGAAAGCCATTTCACTACTAACACAAGAGCATCGGCAAACACTGGCACTGGTGGTCCCAGTGCCAAGGCGCAAACCTGCCCAAGTCAGTGCAGCACCCATGGCAGATGTTCTCCTGGCTGCCCAGGGCACGAAGGACCAACTGCCGCCAAGTGAGGCAGCGAACCTCTTACACAGGCCCCGAGCAGAACGGTCTTACTTCCTGAGTACCGATGATTCCCTGGTTGCGCAAGAGTTTGTAGCGTTGCACATTGCATGCTCCCCTTTTTCCACAGCACAAGGTGTCGCAATTCAAGCTTCTGGCCAGAGTTTCCGAAGCCAGGCTGCTCTTTCAGGAAGATGGCCCGCCGGCGGTTGATGGCCAGGAATTCGTCTGAATGGGGTGCGCGGTGGGGAGCAGCAAAACATTTCCGCCCACCGCAGGGAACAGCCGGATATGCACTTTTTCCACTGGCCGTGACCTTCGAGAGCTTTTGGTCCATTTTGTGGCTTGCCTGCCAAACCCTTTCAGCCAGAGATATGCGCAAGAACAGTCCGTCGCTAACGTGAACCCAGAATGCCATCGTCCAGCGAGGCAGCCCATGCTCTTCACCGAGCAGCTGCTCAGCGATCCCAAGTTGAACAATCGCGCCCAGTCTGCCAACTTGCAGGCAAGACTCAACTGCGTCCCTTTTGCGCATGCTCAGGCCTCGGGGACGGAGGTTCGATGTCGCTGGAGAAGTGGAGCTGGTTTCTAGTCCAAGTCCAGAACGAGGAGCGCGACTGGGCAGCAACCTGTGGGAAGAATGCAGCCGAAAGAGATTGTATCAAGACTCAATATCTGCCCTCGGCCTCGACGGTGCATGCGAACCACTTGTCTAAGGCGCCGTGGTTGAGGGTGCTGCAGCACAGCTCAAGGACATGGAGGCCACATCCATGCACACGAGCACTCCGGGTGATGTCGTTATTTCAATTTGCGCCCAAGATCGAGAATGTGTGCAATAGGCGCCTGAAGCGCCAATTTGCCATCACCTCTCATGCTCTCTTGCAGGTTCCTTATGTTGATGATGAGGGTCAGTTGAGCATTGCCGGACTTTCCTGCTCCCTTTGTTCACCCGACAACGGTGCGACTTGGAGCAAGTTGCAGTCGGTCCTACATGATTTGCTGTTGCTGTTGTCTGGCAGCAAGACGGGAAGACTGTGTTTTGTTGCAAAGGCATTGAAACCAGACCTCTATCGTTCGCACGATGACATGACCCGGCCGTTGACGGAGTACTGGATCGCCTCCGCTCACCACGTGCTCTTGGAGCTCGCACCCCCAAACCCGGAAGGTGGGCAGAGTCACTGATATTTAATGTGGGACATTCCCCACGTGCCTGGAGGAGCCAATCCCACCTCGACAGCCGCGGCGGAAGACAAGGACAAGGCCGGGTCTCCCGATACTGGCGAGCGCGACCATGACTGCAGGAAGGACTCGGCCTCCGGCCAGTGACGAACGCACTGCGAGCTGGATGTCGGTGCATCAGCCTAGCACTCATGGAGGCTGCATCTGAGCTTCAGGCGGGGTGTTGGAAGGAATGGCTGCAGTGTGCGACGTGTTGTATGGTTCAGAGCGAGCAATGTTACGGCTCATGGCATGGGTTGGGGTTGAAGCCAACCATCCGGCAAAGCTCCGGAGTTCAACCCCTGTTACCACATGCGAGCGACAATCATGTGCCGACTGGATAAGATAAGTTGCATTGCAAGAGGTCGTACTTCAGCAGAAGCGTGTCCCACTGGCAGACAGGGCCTTATCATCGGACAATTTGTGACTCGTTGCTCTTCGCTATGACATGAGGATGTGTTGGAGCTGATTTCGTCGGAAGGTCTCTTTGCTGCAGAGCCGGGGCACCATCACATGCACCAGACGCGTGACACATACAATAACTTCCAATAACTAAACAGATGCAGAAGAGGCATACTTCAAGTCCTTGGAACCTTCGAGGTTTTCAGACGGTCCAGTATCCACTTCTGCCGGGCACTTGCCATGTATTTCCCGCAGTGCCATAGGCTGAGCGGTCTGGTTCCGTTAAGGCTGGTGCTTTGCTTGCGGCAGCTCCCTTCCTCGCAATCGCGTGGGCAGGCTTTCATGTGTTGCACCTGTGCCACAACGGGATGCAACTTAACTTGGCAAGCTTGAGTGCTTGTCGTGCTCGTGCTCGCAGGTCGCTGAAGTTCTGTTTGACAAGCTTGGCGACCGCCTGTGGAGGAAGTGTTTGCGGGCATGCCTGCCATGACTTTTTCGCCGTCTGGAAGACAAGCAGGAGCGAGCCGGAGATGCCATCGCCGGAAGCTGCCAAAGGCCACGTGGTACGATGCCCAACTGTCTTCGAATCTCCCAGACTTCAGCCGCAAATGTTGAGACTAAGGTGGTGGTCCTTGCACCGGCATGTGACATGGATCCGGCACTCGAGCCGCCAAGACCACCCATGCGCAAGTTGCAGAAAGGCCAGGCTTTGTCTCCATGAAATTGAAATTGCACGACAGATATCCCACTGACAGAGCTGGCAGTTTCGTGAGGCTACAGCACTCGATGGCAAGACGCAGAAACTTCGGATGAGGTGGTTGAGGCCAGTACTGAGCAGAGCATTTGCAAGACCCTGCAGGTTCAGGTGCAAACTTCATCCCATGATGCGTGAAGCCCCGAAGACCCGAATGTTGTAGCTTGTATCGAGAATTTCCATGGCAATTGTCGCTCCCGGCCTTTGCCTTGTTCTAGGCTTGGCAAGAAGCTGCCAATCGCTTTGCCGTATGGTGTGGACAGGCAGCTGACTTTATGATCTACTCTGTTTCGTGAAGACATGGAGACCGCTGAAGTGAGCTTGTGACACCGGCGCTTTCCGCCCAGCTGCAGGTGTTTGATCGAAAGTTTGCTCAGCAACCACCCGGTGGCATAACTGCTGCTTGAAGCAGGAAGTGCTGGTGAACATGCACCGTAGTGTCGTGTACAGCCAAGTGGTTGGACCGATTTGGATGGGTTTCTTCAGACTACTGTTACATACTTTTGGCGCCGAACGCATAGACACTTGCTGCACTTGTCCTGGCTCAAGTCTGCAGATTCGCAAGGTTGGCTTCTTACCATCGGATGAGCTTTGCAGCCTTGCAGAGTTCAAGCAGCCACCCTTCTGCACTGGCTGATCTGCCGTTCGATCTGTCTACGCTGCCTGCGCGCAGGCAGACAATGTTGGAATACCACAGGCAGCACTACGGCTGGATTTGTCAGGAGTTTGTGTGTGGAAAGGGTCACTATGCAGCCCGTAGAAGCCCAGGTATCTGACGTTGACCTATCCACTAGCGCCTCGAGATGCGCCAGTGCGATGCCAAAGAGTCCCAGGGACACAGTCTTTAGAGCTGGCCAAGAGCGCACAGGTCAACTACAACTTGGCAGCCGCATGGTCATGCGGTGTCGGGTGCACAGGCACTGTCCCACCGTGGCATCTGTGAAGACTTGGGAGCTCTAGGTCCAAATGGCAGCTATGACTGTTGCTTCGGGCGGAACTCGAGGAGATGGCGCCTGCGGCCTCAGTCAAGATAAGCTCGAGCAGAGCTCTTCACACTCAGGGCGCTACCCGTCTTCGGGAAATGAAAATTCAGAGCTTCTTGCATGCATATCCCAAACCCCCGAACAGACGGATGCTGAAAGAGAGCATGCCCGAAAAAGCGCCACGGTCCCCACCCGGCCACACACACTTGGAGTGACCCTCAGTACAACCGAAGTTATACCATAGGTTAGCAGGTTATAATCTCATCTCACATTTCTGCTTGGCGATGTCAAGGAGCAGCGCCTTTGACCAATCCTCGGTGCAGTTGTCGTGGTCGTCGTCGTCGTCGTCAGATGATTGGATGGCAGCGACCAAGAAGACGTTTCAGAGTCAGGCCCGATGACGTGAATGGGAGCGTGAACCGGCTACTGATAGGCTGTGTCACACACACAGAAGTCAGTTGTGTCATGCTGTCTGGCACAGAGTCCACGGCACCTAGCCGGCGGATGTCACGAAACAGGACAACATGCAATAATTGAGTGAATTTATGGTGCCGAGGTCAGAGTTCGAATTGTGCATATCACATGTCGCCCGTGTCTGAGGCCACGCTGGTACAAGCCGGGCTCTTCTCGCTGAATGGCGGGTGTGGCTATGTACTGACGCTCGCCTTGCATTAATTGTGTCTCAGGGAAGTAGTTGATTCGCACTTGATGCTTGCTGCAGCGCTGTCGTGCAAGATTTACTAGACCATGCATTTCGTGACACCTGTGACTCCTCCCTGTGCTGCAGAAAGCCGCCGTACTTGAGAAACTGCATTCGACAAGAAGACAGCCTTGAGGCCGGGGTGCAGAGACACCGATTCGGTCGGTGAGATTTCGGTGCGCCCCGAGGTTGCAGCACCACTACCCAAGCCGATCTACCTTGAGGTGCCAGTGCACCTCTACTTTTTGGCGGGAGTTCGGTTGTGCTTGCAAGCATGTGATGTGCCCACTTGCCGGTCAAAGTCGCAGTAATCACACCGGATGTCTCCGGCAAGGTTCGATTGCTTGCTGCCCGAGCTGTGCCCGGCATGGACGAGACTCCATGGCCGCGGGGGCCGGTGGCGGGGTTCCCAGCTTTAAAAATGGGGGAGGTGGCCCCATGACAAATCTCAGAGTCTTTAGATAGGAAAAGCTTTGCGCGGCTCGCTTGTCTGTTGTTCAATTAAAGCTTGATCTGCAGGGGCGTAGCGATCTTTGCAATTTGGTCCATGTTTTTGCTTGAAATGTAGTCGAAGTTAGGTTGTCCAGGTGCTTCAAAGCTTGTCACATCCCATCCATTCTAGGCCGGTCAAGGCTAGTCACCGCAAACCCGGCATTGATGCCATTGAGAATGAGACTCGTTGATGCTGGCAACCACCTTCACGGCAAACCAGCGGTGAGTAGCGAAGTGCCTTGAGGTCCTCAGCGCCAGCATTTGGGGCGCTCCGTCGGACTGTGCGAAGCAGGAGAAATTCACGACTTGACCTGGCATTTCTTTGCTCTTGCTTCACACACTCCGGCAGGACTATCAGTCCATCCGGGCAAGCGGCGCAGTCCTTGCCTGGCCGAATGCCTCTCGCATAGCACGATCAGCATTCCGCGGGCAGACTCCATGAGCATGAACGCAGTTCCACGCCCATCCTCATCCCAACACAGGCCGCGGGGTTGGTATGCTACTCAGCTTGCGAGCCTGGAGCAGTGAGACAGTGCACCTAGTGCACCTGTTTGTCCAAATTTTGAGGATGAGTCTGTTGGACTGAGGGCTTCAACATCGGTTCTCCTCAAGTTGCTATCCTGGTGGTTGCGATCTCGGATCAGTTGAGCAGAGATGATATAGGAAGCAGCTACAAGAGAATAAACAAACCAAGCGCCAGCACGTGCGGCATCAAGACCAAAGCTTTCAGCAAGGAACCGGGTTATGAGTCAACAGCATGCCCAGATGGAGTTGTTCGAGCTGGACTCTTCGTCTGGAGGCGCTCTGGGCCTTCTTGCTGTCCAAGAGCACGAAGCAGCTTGTGCCACAAATGAGATCTTGTTCCATAATACTCGCGATATGCGATGCAGTGGGGGATGTTCATGAAAGCTTCGAGAGGCTACCATCGAGTTGCATTCTTCGCATCCCCAGTGTCAGCGGCCAAGATGCAGGCGCAGGCAGGAAGGCAGGCAACAATTCAGGGGTAGTCACGACCTATTAGATTTGCTAGATCTTTAACCTCAGTGCGTGTTGAAGAAGCGTACGTAAAGTGCTGCCGTGAGCGCACACATTACATTCATTAGATCATATTAGATCGACCTGGTACGGAACCATTGAAGCCTAAAACTCATGCATGACGGATGAGTGCAGCAAGGCAGGATTGAAAATAGGCTGCAGATGTGTGTCCGGCATTGTTGGCTACCTGGTTAGCCAATTCAGGCATGGACTGCGGCAGGGGTTGCGTTGGATGCCTCTTCGCTCTCATATGGGCAGGGAGCTTAGACCGTGACGAAATCCAGAAGCTTTTGCCTTGAAGTCGGGTCGGCACCATGCAAACAAGCAGATCTCGGTGGCAGAATTGATGTGAAGCGTGCTTGTTTTGATTCTTCTGTATCTTTCCTTCAGGTGCAGTGCAGGCTACGCTTCACGGTCCTTTGTCTGGGATTCTCGCGCACATCTCCCTCGTGGAAGGTGGCACAGGGCCCACGAGCATCTTCTGCTGCTGCTTTGCCATGTGGGATGATATGGCATCTCATCCTAAGGCAAGCGAGCATCCCTCCAAAGAGGATCTCCCTTGGCGGCTTCTGGACGCTTTTGATTGCGGCGCCGCCGGTAATTCGCAAGTTTAATTGTGCATGTGGTGCAGGAGAGTTCTGGCTGTTGAGCAATGGTGAATTCTGATGTCGGTGTTTGCATATGGAATAGGGCCACCAATCTCCGTGCAAGCTGCCAGAACATCAATGGTTCATGGGCGTGCAATGTAGCCGTTGCGAAGCAAGCATTGCATGCCATGCAGCGGCCCGCAACCGTGTACAGTGCTCTGCCGTAGGTCGTACAGATCTCTACAGAACCGTGCAGCAATCGTTGATCTCATGGTATTGCCGTGAATCTCTTTTGGCAGCAAACTAATTAGCGACTGCAGCTGCTTTCGCCAGCTTCAACTCCTTGCCAGCTCTACTTGCAGCGACGCAGGCTTAGCTGCGATGCGTTTGATGGCAGGTGTGCCCCAGCGCAAGGCGGCACTGCAGAGCTGGCTGGGAAGCTCCTGCCTGATGCCCGGCGATGGCTGTCGCAGCTTGAGCCAACCCTCCCCTGCGACGACGTACATGTGAACTTCCAAAAGTCACATCATCCCCATGCCGGGGAGAGTCTGATCCTGCCAGGGAGCAGCTGGGTTATGCATCCATTGAGGGTGTCCGCATCTCAGTGGTTGCCTTGCAAACTGAAACACTCTTTGCTGTCCGGCGCCGCAATAACTGAGTTAGGTTGGAATTATTCGTGTGACAATGTAGCTTTGAGTTGTATAGTTCGTTTTGCAGCCACCAGACTGAGAGCACTCCAGGATCCAGCCACTGCCGTCTACTTCCTAGCCGCTGCAGTGCTCCGGTCACCTTTCGAGGCGTCCCGGTCGACTACCGCGAAAAATCCATGACCAAAACTTTGATTGTCTCCAGGCGGCCACATCAAGATCCGTTTCCCCTTTGCTCACGATGCCCTCTCCCGAGCACCACAGCTATCGCAGCGCAGTAGGAGTACCTGGCTACAGGCAAATAAGAGCGAGAAGCAGTAGCAAACAAGGCTGGCTCGGCTCCTGTGCCAATCGATCGAAGCCGCCTCCACGCAGCTGGAGAAGCCAACCCTGAAAGAGGCAGCTCGGCACTCAGACCCAGCTCGATTTTCCACTGCCGCAGTGACTGTGGGTGCTACTTATGCTCGTAACTTCCTCGAGTTGAGATCAGCCTCCAGGATGCCCTGGAGAGGCGAAACTTGAGAGCCGGTTACCCAAGCGCTGCTCGAAAAACACAGCCTTTAGTCGGCTCATGTGTCTTGGTTACATCTCTTTCACTCAGCGTCAGGTATCATCAGGTATCAAGTGCCTCTCCTGTTGGCTTCCCGTTTGAGGCCTTGCGAGGGCCTCTGCGCCGATGGCGGGACCAGCTGCACGAAGGATGGGTAGCGGGTGAATGCACAGCCCCGCTTCCGCCGGCAAACAGGAAGATGTTGATGCACTGAGCGCATCTTTCACACAGCTGCTAGCCAGATGACATAACGTCACATAACGATTCGATTTCTGAAGGGTCTGTTGCCTGCCACAGTCCGAGCTGTCAGAAAAAAAACGTGCATTCTGCGTGATCTTCATTTCCAATCCTGCGATCTTCCGGCAGGTTCAAAGAATAGCCAAGTCGCAGTCGCGGGCTTGGCTCTGTTGCATCGCAAGTTGAGGGAGAAGCTGAGAGAGGTCTGGAGCTGTCCCGAGGTGTGGGTCAGCAATTGCATCGAGGTGCTGGACGAGCTGTCGCTCTACTGACCGAAGCCGCAAAACGTCAATTGCACGCTGGGGATGCATAGCAAGATAGGATCTCCACGCCTTCCCATAAGAGTCGCCGAGACATCCGCAGACACCCGATGCCGCGATAGGGAGCTGCCCGAGGGCAACCGGCACAACTAAGGAGTGGTCGGCGTCTTGCAAGGAACCGTGCGACCTTTCCCTCTCGGCTCATGCAGGGCTGGGACTCTGACTCCGCCTTTGAGCAGTGCCGCCGGCATCCCAGCTTCTGAACCTTGCAGCAGTGTTACCAGGACCAAGTAGGCGACTGCGCAGTGCGACAATGCGAGGGTTACCGCTAGCAGATGTTTCTATCGAGCAGAGTTAGTAACTTCCGTCCGTTTGAAGACGGGAGCGTTCCTGGGTTCCACCATGGCAGCACTTCTAGATCCGGTCGTGGACGTGCTGGAGGAGGGCAGCCATCCGTTGGACTCCCTTTTCAAGCCCAAACGTGTGGCTGTGATCGGTGCAACGGATCGTGAGGGCAGCGTTGGGCGCACTCTTCTTCGGAACCTCATCAGCAATCCCTTCGGGGGTGTTGTCTACCCTGTGAACCCAAAGAGGGAGCACGTCTTGGGCATCTCCTCCTTCAAGTCCATCGCTGCCTGTCCTGGCCAGATTGATTTGGCTGTGGTCATCACGCCGGCTTCGACTGTGCCTGCTGTGGTCAAGGAATGCGTGGAGAACAAGGCACCTGTTGTCTGTTTGCGCACAACGTCTCAAGCCTGAAGCCAGCACTTGCCTGGTCATGTGAGGGCTTTGGGATCTTTGTGTTCGTGGCTCTGCAGGTACGGAATGTCATCATTATTTCGGCCGGTTTCAAGGAGGTTGGGCCAGAAGGAGAGAAGCTCCCTGGCCTGCAGCTGTAGGAGCACAGAGCGTTTACATATGTTTACATGAGTTTTACCGCCAGAGTTTTACCGCGAGATTGGGCGTGACCTGCCGTGGACCCGTCCTTGCACCAAGGCTGGAGAACGAAGTGAAGGCCATTGCCCAAACTGGCAATCTGCGAATAGTGGGACCAAATTGCCTAGGCATCATTTGTCCCACCTCGGGTCTGAATGCATCCTTCGCAAATTTGATGCCGCAGAAGGGGAGCGTTGCGTTTATCAGTCAGAGTGGTGCGATGATCACCTCGGTGCTGGACTGGAGCGTTTCACAGAAGGTGGGCTTCAGTGCGGTCATCAGCATCGGGTCCATGCTGGACATGGATTTTAGCAGCATGATCTTCTATCTCGCCAAAGATCCGGCAACGAAGAGCATCGTTCTTTACATGGAGTCGATTGGCAATGCCCGAAGCTTCCTTTCCGCTGCACGAGAGGCAGCCCTGACCAAGCCCATTATAGTAATCAAGGGTGGCCGTACGGATGCAGCCGCCAAAGCTGCAGCATCCCACACAGGTAGCCTGACTGGGAGCGACGCAGTGCTTGATGCAGCCTTCAAGCGAGCTGGCGTGCTGCGTGTCGAGAACATGTCCGATCTCTTCGAGATGGTGACTGCGCTGCATTCAGGTCCTTGGGCCTTTAGGTGTATGTCGCAAACCCAGCAATTACCCGGCAGGACATGTTTGGGGGGAAGAGCCACTTCCTTAAGTCTGAGCACTTGCTCCGTTCGTGCGCGAATGACTGGGTGGGCTTCTGGTACATTTTTTTAGTTGTGTGGGTTTCTGCCTGGGCCTGGCAGCATTGAGGCTCAGCACAACTGTAACAAGCGACAGCAAACAGCAACATCAAAATCAGCAGTAGCCGCAGCAACTCTTTTCCTTTTTGCCCGACAAGGCAAGGAAGGGGGCAGAGGGGTAAGGGTTTTGGGGCCCTAAGGTTTGGGGGTGCAGGTTGTGTGGTTCCGCAATTTCGGGCACTAGGGTTTGAGCAAAAAGAGTTTCGGGCTCGATTCAGGAATGAGAATACTAATAATTAAACTCAACATTCTTAAACCTTCAAAGCCCGAAGCCCTCCGAACATGTGTTCTTTTACTTCTTGAGTTGCGCACTCTTCATGCACCGAACGCGTCGCATGGCTGCGTCTCGCTTCCTTAGGCAGATGTCTTATCCAAGCAGCCTCTGCCCAACGGCAATCGGCTGGCCATTTTGACCAATGCTGGTGGGCCGGGTGTCCTGGCATGCGATGCCTTGGCACAGCACGGAGGCAGTCTAGCCGAGTTGTCTGGGGAGACCATCGCAGCTTTGAATCAAGTTCTCCCACCTGCCTGGAGCCATGGGAATCCCATCGATGTTTTGGGAGATGCATCGGCCAAGCACTATGCTGACAGCTTGGAGATCGTGGCCCGTGATCCCAACTGCGATGGCTTCCTGGTGATCCTGACGCCTCAGGCCATGACAGCACCTACTGAGTGTGCGGAAGCATTGTCGCGTTATGCCAAAATACAAGGAAAGCCTGTGCTTGCCAGCTGGATGGGCGGCCCGGATGTTGCTCCTGGTGCGAAGGTCCTGAACGATGCAGGAATTCCCACGTACTCCTACCCGGACATGGCCTGCAAAACTTTCAACTACATGCACCAGTATCAAAGCAACCAGGGTAGCAACTACGAGCGCATCGACTTGAAGATGGACTTGGAGAAGGTGCAGGTCCCACGGCTGCATTTTTGGACCATGGGATACCATAGGTTTGTCTCTAATTTTTGTTTGCTCAGACTTTTCCAAGCAATGTATGCAAACACCTCGGTACGGAGAAGCACAGGCCGCAGTGAGTTGAGATCTAGGTGTGGCAGCCAGCATAACATGTGCCAACAGACTGAGGAGGGCAAGGCAGAAGCACGCCAGCTGCTCTCCAAAGTTCGGGCCTCTGGGCGGTCATTGCTGACGGAAGCAGAAGCTGGGTGGCAATGAAATAGGGGTCAGTGCTGCTTAGGAAGTTTCGGACATCCAGGCTCTGAGCCTAGTTGCAAGAGAGGGAACCTCAACAGTCAACCACGAACTGAGGAAAGCAAGCTGCTTCTCAAGGCTTATGACATCCCAGTGTCTTGGCCGGGCGCGAAATTGAAAGAACCAAGATGAGCTCGGAATCTTCAACTTTGGCTCGTCATAGAACAACTGCTGTGTCTTCGAAAGGAGAGTGCAGGGGACCTTGACCGAAGAAGAAGGAGTTAGAGCAAGCTTCATCTGGCGAACCGTCGAGATTTCACCCTCGCACCCCCTAAACACACGACCTTTTCAAGGCATCGTTGCAACAAAGACGCACAAGCCAAGTAGAATTGTGCAGCTGCTGATAGTCCAGGTCACCGCGTGCGAATTAGCATCTAGCCCTGACGAAGCCGCGGCTGCGGCAGAAAAGATCGGCTATCCGGTGGTTATGATGCTTGGCTTGCCAGAAGCCACGTTGGCTTTTTGCAGCAATGGCGTGTTTGCGTTCACGAGACTTCGCAAAGGAAGCTCAATTCCACCACCATCACGCACAAGACTGATGTGCCAGCCTGAGTGTAGGCGCTTTCCATCACAAGTGGCTCCCAGCCCGCCACCGCAACTCGTGCCGGGTTCAGCTGACTATTTCTAAGTCGATGATGAACAGCCCCTCCGCAGCCAAGGTTGGAGGTGTCGTCTTGAATCTACACAGCAAAATGGCTGTGGAAAAATCGTTCTTGGAGATGAAGGAGAGTGTTTCCAGACTGGCCTCTCCGGAAGGCTTTGAGGGTGTCACGATTCAACCTATGATCTCCTTGAAAGGCGCGGCTTGTCCACTTCGTATCATGGGCCGAAGCGAGTTACAGAGATCTGCAGAGGGATGGCTGCCGGTGAAGATAAGTCGTGCGAAATGAGGGGCGATAGAACCATAAGGATCGAACGAAGCTTGAGCAGTTTTGCAGGCTATGAGATCATTCTCGGGTCGTCCATCGATCCACAGCTCGGGCCGGTTCTCCTCTTTGGAATGGGTGGTTCTCTGGTAGAAGTCTTCAAGGACTCAGCCGTCGGGCTGCCTCCGCTGAATGCCAATCTGGCTCGGAAGATGCTGGAAGAGACGAAGCTCTATAAGGCATTGCTTGGAGTTCGAGGTATGAAGAGCGTGAATATCGAGGCCCTAATCCAGATCATGGTCCGCTTCTCTGTGCTTATCGTCGACCTCCCAGAGATATTGGAATGCGACATCAACCCGCTCATCGCATCTGAGGATTCCATTCTTTCCCTGGATGCCCGCGTGGTGCTCCACGACCCGAAAACTGCACCGGAGTACTGGCCCCAACCGGCCATCCGACCTTATCCACATCAGTATGTTAAGATCGTTGGCCTCACGGACGAGATGTCAGTCACTCGTCCAAGAAGAAGCTCTTTTGTTTGTAAGTCTTTAAGTCAAGTGTCCTACAGAATTATGCTTTGCTGACTGAGGCCAAGATCCGACCGATCTTGCCTGAGGAATTTGGTTCCCTGTGTCACTTGGGGGGACTTTGGCGTTCTAAGTTCTGATCATTGTGCAGGCATGATGCCTGATCTCCCAGCTTAGCTCAACTACACACGCGGATGGATTCTAGCAACATGTCCGTTCAGCACCTTCCGATTCTCGTTATTAAGCACTCCGGCGAGGACGAGGGAATGATGCTTTTCTTCTACGGTGCAGCCTCCTGGCCAAGCGGCTGCGACCCCACGTCCATGCCGAAGGATGAGGCACGCCAAGAGCGGGAGCGGAGAGTAGCAAGGATGGGCGATTGCAGCGAGAGTAGACTTTAGCCGTTGCGCCAATGCTAGTTTGCTGCGCCTCAGCTATGTCATGCCAGGAACAGATGACATGCAGCTTAAGCCGCACTCATCTCATCCGGACCTGCTTCGTAGACTTTGACCGATCGATCGTCTTGGTTGCGGAGGCTGGGCAGATAATGTCATACCAGCCTGATGAATAAAATGAAAGCCAGGAACGCAGGGCCAAGTGTCCTGGGCTCACCAACTGAAAGTGAGTACAGGTGGTTCAAGACGGAGAAAAGATGATCGTCGGAGCCGGCCGCATCAGCAGGGAGCAGATGACCAACGATGTGACCTTCGCATTGCAAGTGCTTCCAAGTTTCCGAAGGAAGAGCTTGGGCTCCCTAATGCCTCTCAGTTTGCACTATACAGATGCTTGGTACTTGGTCGGTGCCCATCGCAGAGCCAGCGTGAGCAGGAGTGAGTTCTTTGTGAGCACTGCTCGCTAAGGTTGAAGCAGCTCATCGTTGTGGCAAAAGAGGAAGGGGCATCTTGCATCAAAGCTGATGTTCTTTGTGAGAACACCCGGGCGTTGCGGTTCTTGGAGGGCCATGGATTCCTACTCGGAGAGGAAAAGAAAGCCCTTGTGAATGTGAGCCTGCATTTTGATGAAGCATCCGGGATGCGAAGACAAACAAAGTCTTTTTCCTCCTTTGCGAATGCGCGAAAGCCGACGCAGATGATTCATTCGGAGAGCCCGGCGGAGAGTCCAACCTTTGCAGCAAACTGAAGGCAGATTGAAGTTCTGCCAGCGTCTGCTTCGAGCGTATAGATGGCGAGGCCTCTGCTGCAGCGTTTTGATGCATGACATCATAATCTGCAGAGGGATCCCAACAAAGCCAGTTACTTATTCAATTTAAAGTGGTTATGCTCTCGAGAGCTCGGGATCTTGAGAACCCAAGCTTGACAGCGCACGCAGCAGGCATGAAGTCCTGTTGTGAAGGCTGTTCACTGCAAAGGTCGGTGCGAGCTATTTGTTTCGGCCGGGCTTCAGAACCCGGCTTGCGTGTGCATCGTGCATCGTGGCAGGAAGCATTGACATGAACATGGGTAGCATGCCCTTTTGCACTGCACACTTTCGGTTAGGAAATTCTGACGGAGCAAAGATCTTCGATCGTTCATGATCGGTGTTAGGGCATTTGCTCCTTCCGGTGTTTTTGCAATCTAGTAGCTACAGTGACGTGCGTTGCGAAGCAAACTCCAGGCTTTCGCAATGGCCGCCCGCAGGCTTCCGAGTCTAGTTCGCCACGCATTCAGCCATGTGTGCTTCCTAGGCCTTGAGGAGGGCTGATTGGCAAAATGCAGAGAGTCGGCAGATATCGCGTAGAAACCACCCTCAGAGATCGCCAAGATTGCTTTCGGAGGTGGACCATGTCCTTGCACCAAAGGCTGCGCTTGCTCATTTCGCAAAGCGCCCCTTGCCAAGGAGTCAGGCATTATTTCACTGGGCTGTGGTCCTGTTTATCTCTCTGAGGCACGCGGCCCTCGAGGCCGGAACGCCCAGCTCAAACAGCCAAGTCATGCAGAGCGACACAGACCACGTGGACTCCGGGCACGTCGATTCTGACAGCTCGCTCCTACCTACATCCCGTCCACCGAACTGTTTTGGCATCTCGCTGCATTTGCTGGCTCCTTGCTTTGTGCCAGGAGCACCTCTGCAGAGCAGAGCTGTTCCGTGGCAGAGGCTTTTATGCGAGCCTTCGCCATGTACTGCACTTGTTTTTGATCGGGTGGCAGGATTTCAGAGCTCCGGGTACATAGACCTTCCATTCAAGCGGCGTTTTGAGATCAGTGTCAGGAGCGCCGTCCATGCCGGGGCTTCTTCCTCGCAGAGTGACGGCGAGGTGCCTGGTCAGCAGCAGTACAGTGCCGTTCCAGTGCACTGGTGGGACAGGCAGTGTGCCCGCCAGGAGTCCCGTTACACTTTGTCCATTTGCCACAGAGTAGACTGCGGAGGCCAGCTGGGCGGTGGTGTGCGCTGCAGCGGGTGCTGGCGCCGTGGCCTGCCCCTGCCGGATTCGCCAAGAGTATTTTGGAGTTACACAGTATGACACAAGCAAGCTCTTTTGGCATGTTTTCTGTTAGCTTCTTTGGCACCGTGGCACCGTGGGTAAGCTGCACTGTAGCGTTCAAGATTTGTCACGTGCCTTGCGGAAGCTTGGCAAATTCTGGCCACAAGCAGGCCATGGCCACTGCAAAGGATGCGAGGCGGGGACGCTCGCAGACCGCTTCAAGCAAGCACACCCAGTATGGCGATTGTGCCAACTTGGTGGAACACGTCTGGTGACTGAGCGAGCGTTGGGCTTGTGAGCTCGCATCGACCAATGTCCTGTCCAAAGGAGTTCAGCGAACTGCTACTTCGAGCCTGCGCCTGATGGCGGGGTTGATCGACTCAAGAGGCCCCTGGCATGGTTGAAGCAGACAGGTATTCGTGTTTTTGAGGCTGTTGGAAGCAGTGCGTTCGACTCACCAGTCCGTGGTACGAAGGGGCTGCTTTTGTTTAGAACGTGCTGCTTGGCCAGGTGGTCACAGGTGTACTGGAACCTCCCTTCAGGCCAAGTTCCAGCGGAGGGCGGGGCCGTGCATGCTGCATTGAACCCAACCTAGCCCTGTTTGGTTTGCTTCACTCAATATCATCTGATGACGCGGTCCGGTTCCGAAGTGCCTCAGCATCTCATCTTCGAAATCCAACCAATGCTTGGTCAGAGAGAGAGAGCGAGAGCGGCGAGAGAGGCAGCTCGCCGAGCTTTCACCACACGGAGGCTGGCTGCAAATCCGAAAGGTACTTTAACTCAGCCGTCCCCTCGCCTCGCCTGGGCCTCGCCTGGCCTGGCGCGAGGTGTCTTCGCACCTGGAGAAGCACCTGGCCCAATGGACGAAGCCTCAGGCAAAGTCAGGCACTTCTGGGCTACAAGAAGGCTCGATCAGAGAGTTCAGACATCGCCTGGTCCGAGAGGCGCCAGCTTTTCCAGCAGGAGTTTCATCCGTCTGAGTCTGGATAGGTAGAAGCCCAAAACCACTCGTCTTGCAGAGAGTTCATCGTGGCACATGTGACTCCGACTCCGAACCTCTGTATGCCAAAGTTGGGAAGGACAAGTCTAGGAGCCCGACGCGTGGTAGAGATTGGTAGAGCACGTAGCCTGGAAGCCAATGCTCGTAGCAGTCCCTGTCAACTTTGCAGAGAGATGCACGGAGGCTTGCTCCTTCGCTTATCTTCAGCCCACAGCGTGAGTCAGAACCAGACTCCCAGCAGAAACCGTAAAACTGGAAAAGTCTCGGCTCCTGCCTCGCTTGCACCCAAGGTCGAAGGGAATGTTTCCTGATGAGACGAAGGCCGTCTTGGCGGCGTAGTGACAGCATGATTCAGTTCAATTTGCAAAAGTCATGCCTTCGATGCGCCGCAGGCCAGTCCCTTGCGGAAGGTGCTGGTGCCGCTCTGCGGAAAGTCTGTGGACATGCCGGGCTCCCTGCAAGTGTAGGTTCTCCTTCCACGGCATGAGGAGAGACACCGAATCCGACCCTTCCTTCCAGGCCGTACTTGTGTGAGCTCGGCTTCGGTGTCGTGGGAGTCGAGGCTCGCTTTACAGGGTCCACAGCCCGGGCGATTGTCGTGCCATGTCTGTTCGAACGGTAGCCAGCCAGCATGGTAGGGTCGTGAAGACATCATGGTCAGTGCTGAAACGCATCCGTGGCGTCTCAGGGCATTCCGAGGGCCATCCTTGAATTCAAAGCAGAGCACCAAATACGAGCCCCAGTCTCAGACTGCGCCGCCGCAAGAGCAACATCAGCATCGATAGCTCAAGGTCAAGGGCATGAAGTCCAAGCTCCATTTTGCAAAAGATGAGCAAGGCCGGGGTCATATCCACCGCGTGCCAAACTTGGGATGTCACATTGCTTTTACGTTCAGGATGGCGGGAAGGGACGACGTTCCATCCTGCCGCGCAGTTCGCAGGAGCGAGGTGCCGCCTTCACTTACATGAGAGGCTTTGACTGTTGCACGTTGCTGAAAGGTAACTCCAGTCCTAATGCGTTCTGACAACTACAACAGCTGACAGGTCTGGCCAGTCCTTCAAGACAGGCGACCAAGGGCCTCGGACTAGGACATTTCGCCGGAGGGCGACATCAGAACAGAAGTGCATCAGAGGTGCTGGAGCACAGGAAGAGAGATTAATTTCTGCAGCCGAGGCTCGGTTACTATTCGGAGCGTCCAGCTGTGTGGCGTGGCAAGGCTGTGTGGTGTGGCAAGCTACATATTGCATGGCGTGCAGCATGCTTCTATATCTCGAGGTATAGTTGCCACTTGTACAGAATGTCGTGACAGGTGAACCTGGGCAGGAGGCACGCTCCGTTGCACCTCATCGAGGGCGACATGCCAGAGCCTTGGATTTATTCCGCTATAGAACATGATGTGCAGTGCAGCAACCAAGAAGTTTCAGGCCCTCTGGCTTGTCCGACGCTTCCCAATAAATTTGTTGTGAAGTGCAAGCCCACAGTAGAAAGAGCTGTTTTGCATTGCTGACGGGACAGACTTCGTGCCTGCAAGGTTGGAGGTCACGCCGGAACTGGTTGCGGCTTCCACGTTTGTGACGGATGGCAGGTGTTTTTCCATCCAGACCAAGTTCGAAGCACATCAGGCAAACTTAGCCCTTTCTTCGTCGCGCGGAGGTTTGACCTCGTTTACGATTGCGATGCTTTGGTGCCTTGGCACCGGAGCAGATTTAGCGGTATGCGAGTTTGTGCTTAGGCCGGATAGTCGAACAATGTTGCCAGGTCTCGCTTCCACCAGACAGTTGGAAACAGCAGGAACCCTACACCGTTGGAATCATACTGCGGCGATGACGACTTGGCGTGTCTTCACCTCGTCGGTGGTCCAGGGCCTTGAGTTGCAAGTTACGCGGAACCATGCAGTCCCTGCATCGATGATCAGTATAGGAGTGCTTGTCACCTGCTTGTCATGTACCGAGTTTAATTGAGGTACGCAGACGGGTTGTCGTCGTTGCTGCGAGTAGGCTGGGAGGGTACGGCAGGTTCAGGTCGAACCTGCCTGCTGGCATGCACCAGAAGTGTCGATTCTTTCGAAGCAGGTGGAAGGATCCTCCTGGTAGCCGCCCCCTTATTTCGGATGGTGAAGCTGTTTTTCGCCGATTCTACGGCTTCCGAGCGCTTCGAAAGCAGTCTCGATCACTCAGCGCAGGCTGTTCAGTACGACCAGGACAAGCTCCCATATGCACGTGCTGCCTGCTAGTTGATCTGTTTGGCTTTGCTGGGGAAAAAGTTGTGGCACGTGCAGATGTCTGCGTCGGCATAGGCAACCGCATCAATCCGCCCCCGTTTAGTGCCGAGCTCCAAGATGCTCCGGAGCTCGTGGGTTGCTCAATATGTGTGTGAAAGACCAAGGTCACCCGCGAGCACATCAAAGCACTATTTCCGGACTGTCATGGGGGAGCGTTGGGGTCTAGCTTACGGCTTACGGTTTAGTCAAGACTTCTACTCTGACGCCCTCCCGGTAGAACTCTTAGAGATATGTCGAGAGCTTCACCAGGACTCGTGTTGGTCGGTGACCACGTTGGAGACAGAGCCCTGTGATGAAGACTTTGTCTGGCAGCTCAGGTGTTCCTAGTATATTCGGACGTACGTCGAACACTTAAGTCGGCCTTTCATACCACAAACAGCAAGCAGATAACATGGTGCTTTCGAAAAGCACTCTCAACAACTGCGGCACTAGGACAGTCCGGAGGCATGTGCTACATGCGAGTTATATTGAGCTCATGCTGCTGCGCGCTGCCGATCGGCTCAAAACCTGGGTAGGCACGAGTTGACCAGATACTAGTAGGTCTTGACACATCAGCCCCGCAGAAGTAAGAAGATGTACACAGACGAAGGACCAAGTGAACGTCACAGGGTGTAGTCTGTGAGGACCCGATGATTTGAAGAGTGCCTTCAGTGTTTCACCCTCGAATCTCACCGAGGACTTGGATTGCCAGTGCAGTGCCTGTCAACCTACGCAGCACCACTGTCTCCGTGGGATCCGGGTAAGCTTGTCCGATCTGCACTGGCGGCTCCAATGACCACTATAGAAGTGGAGTCCGCACCGGCTTTTCGACCGGAGAGAGCCTGGGCTTAGCCCTGCCACGGCAACCGCTGAAGGCGGGCTTCCAGACCCACCAGACTCGACCTGACCTTGACAGCAGACTTGTGATCGCACCGTCACCGTGGCTGGGCTTGGCCATGGACACCTCGATGTACATTGCGCCATTTGCATCGCTCCCACCCTTGAATGACAAGCGGAGCCGCGCATGGGTCGAGGGCTAAGCATCCATGGACATGCAATTGCTGAAGCTTCGTGGAGGCCGTTGATAGACTAACGCCGGTTTGCTGTGAGATGCCACGCCGAGTAGCCGGGCTTGGCGTAAGCATTTGCCGGTTGACCCGCATGAGGCCCGGTACCTCGAAAATCGGCTTCGGTCGCTTACAGAGGAACCGACAAGGTCTTGGACTCAGCAGCCGCCGACCTGCTAGTTAGAGTCATACCATTTGAAAAGCCCTTTGCAGAGGAAGTGCCTGAGGCTAACGTTGTGTGTGTGTGTGTGTGCGAGACATGCAGTGTCTTCAAAGACGCATGTAAACACCAGGAGGCAGCTAGGTTCATGCCGAATGATGTGCACGGTGTTATCTGCACGCACGAAAGTGCTGGCTTTCCTCGCCCAGGAGGCATCTTCCGGCAGCCCATTTGTCACCTTTGCTCGCCGGTCGCTGGGCAAGAGAATAGATTGCAGTCTTGCACCCTTCGGCCTGGCAGAATCTGGCAGATGCTTGTGCAGTGCAGTGCGGAGTTCCGTTCGGAATATCACCCGGTGTGGATACTGTCGGCATCTAAGCAAGGACGCAGCGCGCCGAAAGCGGGCGAGGTGCCGAAGACGCAGCTCGATCGCAAGCCTGACCGCGTTCGTGCCTTCTTGTTTACACAGGCGCCAGCTCTCACAATAGTAAAACCGCAGCAACCTGTCGTCGAGGAACCTACGGGCCTCGAGCTGCGGAACGCCGAGCCGCGTCAGAGGGAAGGTGCCCGAAAGTATAAACTGCCCGGCATTTCCGAGTTCCGAGATTCACGTGGTTGGCTTAAACCGACAAGAGGCAGCAAGGCATTTCTTGAGCGTGCTTGTGCAAATACACAGAAGTAAAAGGCTGCAAAAAAGAATGCCCCAGTTCCACAGTCGCAGGCCCATATGCGCAGTGGAAGCTCCCGTGAAGCACTGCCAGCAGATTGCAAGATATTGCTTTGTTGAAATCGTGCGAAGTCAAGCCTTGACTCAAGCTCTGAGCCTTGGAGCTTTTCCCCTTAGAACTTCACAAAGTTGCCCGGCTGAGACCACAGGCAGCCCGTGCAGCCAAGGCCTGACAGCGCGAACAATACCCTTATCACCCTGGTGACCAAAGTCCCAGCCGCCGGCCCTCCCCTTTCGGTAATATGCGGCCTACATCCCACCGCCAGTTAGAGTCTGACATATCAGCACCAGGTGGCCTTGCGAAACTATTGAATTGACGGGTGTGCAGAATCCAATTCCCAGAAGTTTGGCCGCCAGAAGTGCAAAGCTTTCGTGTTTTGCTCTGCTGTCATTGATTGTACCAGACTAGCTGCTCGCCGCGTCGCAGTCCGCTACATTAGGGATTCCGACATCTTTTGCGAGGTTGGTTTGCTTCAGGTGTTGACGTCTTTTCTCGTCCCACCGCAGCCAAGTTGTTTCAGAAGCATGAGCATGAGTGTTCATCTGGGGCAGGTTGCTGGCCTTGGCCAGTCGGGCACAATCGTCGTCGGTGGCGACGGAACCTTTCGACCTCTTCCTGCCAAAAGAGCTCTCACCGATGGGGACGACACGTCTGGTGCAGAGAAGTTCCGTGTAACGACTGTCTTTGCAGCAGATGGTCGCTATGTCCACCTCCGAAAGCCGACAGAAGGCCCGGGAGGCAAGAAGTCCCCAAGCCCGCCGCGGCCATCACCGAGTCAGACCAGGTGTGTGGATACTGTAGTAGCGCTAGCTCCAGAAGCCCAGCCGCAATCGAGCCAAGCACGATCTGGTGCAGTCTGGACAGTGCAGAAGGGTGGCTGCATCGAAGTTCGGATGCCACAAACTGCAACGGTATCAGATCCTGCAGCTTGCCATCCTGACCCAGGAAGCGTCACAATCCCAAGCGAGTCATGGCTTGACTCACGCCTGGCGAAGAATGCCCGTGCTCAGCCCTTGCACTGGGGTCAGAGGATAGTCCAGACCCGGGACGGGCAAGGACAGGATGATCTCGAAGATAATGCACCTAGCGCAAGTCTCGAGGTGAAGATTTCAAAGAGAAGCCCATCATCCTTCAAAGAGAGCTCAGCCAGCCTCAAGATCAAGGCTCCGTCGATGCAAACGCTGGACCGAATCATCATGGACTCGGTTGATGGTTTGGTCGCAGAGATGCGTCCGGCCTTAGCTTAGACGCTCTACTGCATTGGTTTGGTAACACGTGGTTTGGGTCTCACCTTTCTTTTGCGACTGTACAGTTTCTCTCCTTCGTCGTGACTTGCCTGGCTGCACATATGCTGCGCCGGCAACAATCCTCAAGTCGCAGTGTACATATGTCACAGATGCGAAGTGTCAAGCACAGCAAAAGTACCCAACGGCCACACTTGTGGGCTGATTATTTCCCTTTAGTTTTACCATGTCTTTGCGGGTGTGCTTGAACACAACCCGCTGGTTTCTGAAGGTGCGTCAGACGCGGAACCCTGTACGATCTCCTGCAAAGTCGCCCGATGTCAGGCACAAGCACTTGGGTTTGGCGTGGACACGACAGAGTCGACTGTGATCTTCAGTTATGCTTGCTGTTGCGCACGAGCATGTTTGCACAGGCCTCGGCGGCCAACACGAGAGCAGCCCCCGTGGCGTCCTGGAGGCCAGGTGCATCTTCGAAAACTCGCTGGAACGAGCCCCTTCCGGGTACTTTGTCATGTTCAACTAAATTAAGGAATTTAGAGAAAGAGTGTTCGCAGAGAAAGAGGGGTCAAGTTTAGTTGCGGCTTGAGTGCAATGATGTGAAAGGTGGCAGTAGTGGTTTGTCAGAAAGACAATGTAGTAAGGTAGTAAACGTATTGTATGGCAAAGTGCCACAACGACTTTCGGTAAATGCCTATCTTATTCCGGTATGTCGATCACAAGATCCCTTCAACAGCTTGGTTTCTAACTCTCGGGTCGTCCCTTGGCCTTTGCATGTCGGGCATCCAATACACTTCTTCCAACCGTTTGCAGACGTGCAGGCCCTCAAAAGCCATTGTCGAGCTCCGGCAGCCACAACAAGCCGCGCACTTCGACCCGCTGTGTGAAGTGGCTCTTGTCTGTCTGAGATACATCTTCCCAGAAATTGCCATGTTACCTCCATCGTGTCACTATGCATCCACTCAGGCCGCTTCCCGGCCCCAAGCTCGCGATGGCGAGGCCGAAGACATCAGTGCCACGCCCGAAGCCCAGATAATGCAGGCATGCACCTTCCCAATACTTTGCAACTCTGCTAGCAGCAATTTCACCAGTCCTAGCCGTAATTATCCATCGAGAGGAACCAACAGGAGAGGCAACTTACTCTGACATAGCTTGCATTCAGTTTTGACATCAATTCACTTTCATATTCAAGCCCAACCTCTTTTGAGCAAGCGGTTTCAGGGGTCGGTCGAACATTGTCGAACATCCAAGCAAAGCTGTTCAGGAAGCTACGCAAGGCCACAGAGCCAAGAATAGAACAGAGCAGGGACAATTCTGCTGTCATGCTCACGTCTCTGGCGCAATCTGGACTTTGAAGTTCAGCAGGGACACTATGGAGCTTTGCATTCGCAGCTTGAGGCTCAGCCGAGAGCTCTGCCAGGGCGCGCCCTGCCAGACTGCATGCAGACTATTCTGTTGTCGTAGCTGCGCGGAGTCAGCCATGTCAAGTTCGGCTAGCTTGTCTGGTTTCGTTGCAAGATGCATCTCTTGAGCTGTCCAGCTTGCTTGGTGATGCTATACGTAGCAACATGAGACAACGCTTGCTTGGCCAGGGGAAGAAGCTCGAATGGCTGGGGCTGAGCATGCCCATGGCCCGCAGCCTGGAGCAGTGATTTGCATGTCATCCTAGATGGTTCCTTGCTGGAGTCGATATCTTTCTGCTGCTGTTTACCTTTTCGCTTGCTCAGGATAGCGTCAGGCGGAACACTGACGGCCGGAGACTTGGCTCCAGGTTTTCACATGCCAGGCGGCACAAGTGGACTTACGGCCGGCATACAAGTCAGGCTGTGCGAAGCAGCACTTATGCATGACATTGATTCCGGAAAGGGCGGGGGCTTGCTTCTCTTCCAGTCGCTGGACCTTGCCTGCTTGAAGATCTGCAGCACAGTCGAAGCCTACAGGATCGTGGGTCATGGATATCTAGCGATCTTCCCCACTTTTCCGTTGTCTGTCAATTTTGGTATCGAATCCGAGTGCTGAGGTGGCTTTCCTGGTCAGAGGCCTCCACTTTGTATGCGAGCCGCAGTGCCAGGATATGCCAGCTGATAGTGCGTGGTGCTGCAGTATCTGCTTTGAGACTGAAAAGAGCACGAGGAAGAAAGGCTAGCAGGTTTGTTGCACGGTTGCAGTTGCAGGCACAAGGCGCAGCTCCAGCCTCAGTAGACCTGCGCATCGTCACCAATCTGCACCATGCCCTACGTTGTAAAGGTAAAAGAGACCTTTGTGTTACGACTAAGGTTTTCTCTTCCGGACGGTGCTCTTGCAAGAACGGCCGAGGTACTATTACTGGCATGGCTGTTGGGTGCAAATGCAGTTGGTGCGTTCTTCACTGAAGCCCAATGCACGTAAGCCGAATATATTATGGAGCCATGTGGCACCGATCAGGCATGCTTCGCAGACTCCGGCACCAGCCTAGAGGGCCAGGGCCTCGTTGCACAGGGCAAACCAGCCGTCCATTCACAGAATTTGATAGAGCCAGAACTTGAGGCTTGGCGGGTCCGCGTTTGCCTCTCGTTCCCTCGTGGGAGGTGCTTATGCTTCAGTGGAACAGCATGTCGAGCACTAGGTTTTAGATGGTACCCACGCAGGCCCGGAAGAAGGTGGCCGAGGAAGCTCGCAAGAAAACAGCGAGGGATCTGGAGAGAAGGCTAGCTCGAGCTCAGGGGACTTTTCAATGTAAAGTCATAGTCGCTATCATTCGCTATCTGAAAGTGGGAGTCGTATATATGTGATCTGAACGTAAAAATGGGCCTCCACTATACGCAGGCGGCGCCTCGAGGCCTTGGCTGCTGCGACCCGGCGCCGAGAGGAACGGCGTCGAAAGCTTCAGATTCAGGCCCCGCCGTGTCTGAAGACACTGCGGCCGAAGATTATATACTGCCACCGCACTACCACCCTGTGGGAGTAGGTGGAAGTGGTGGTTGCAGTGGCGGCGGCGGTGGTGGTGGTGGTGGTGTAGTAATGGTGGTAGTCTTGGACGTCTAGCACCCGCATCACTACCACGAGTGGGACTAGCAGTATTCGTAATTCTTGCAGTACTCGTGAGCACCAGCAGTAGTTCTTTGTGTTAACATGTGTTTACGTCCTTTACGTCATTGTAACTGATTTCATCGTTATCTGTGTTCTCACCATCATCATATGTATCATTATCATCATTACAATTACCGGTACTATTTGTACACTCATCTTTGTTGTCTTTCTGTAGTTGTAGTATCAGAAGCCGTTGTTGTCGTGGCGGTGGTGGTGGTGGTGGTGGTGGTGGTAGAGGCAGCGGCAATAGCTGTCGTCACGAAAGTAGTAGAGTGATCTTTGTTTGTTGGCAGGACTTGTGGTGGCTGCTGTTGCTGCCTGTGGTCGCTGTTGTGGTAGTCTTTGCTTCTGTTACCTGCATGCGTTGTATTGAGACTCTAGGCATTTGTCAGTCTCACGGCGGGCTATCAGCCGGGACTTTCATTCAATTAGTTGTTTTTGGCGTCTTGTTGGGCAGGCCAGAAGATTGCAGGTGCTCCGGCAGAAGGCTCCGCTCGAAAGCAGGGCCGTCGGCCCATCGCTTGACGTCGGTTCCCTTGCCTCGATACTGTACTCGTCACTTCCAGCAAAGATATGACATGACCCCGGGACAGAGAAGTGCTAATCGTTGAGTGAAATCGGCGATGATATGCAGGCATGCGGTGATACTACTCATGATTCTTAGCTACTGGTAGGTCCAGATAGATAGATCTTGCTCTTTCACACCAGAAGCAGAGCCTGATCATAGGGCTTCTGTCGCCAGGCTTTGGAAGCAGAGCAAGAGCCCGAGGAAGCAGAGGATGCTGAGGACCGTCTGCGTATGCAACACCTTCCCCGACCCCCTGCCAAAGCTAAGACTAAGGCAGCTTCTTTGCATCATAAATCATAAACTCCGGCCACCGATGGTTTCAATTTGCGCTTGCTTGCTGGCGGCTTTTGGGGTTCAACCCGAATCCGCAGAAGATGCAGCACGAATCGCCGAAGGCATGGCAATGTGCCTGCGGCTTCAGCAATCGACCAACCAACTCTGTGTGTGGTGGAACCGGTCCATTGGGCTGCAAGGCCCGCAGGTCACCAGTGGTATCAGATGCGGACGATGTTGAGAAAGACGGAGATTTGCCGCCACGCCGGCCTGGAACACTGCGTTTGGCAACCTACAACATTCATTTTGGCAAACACTCGCAACAGGCTCGCATGCAAGCTATTGCTCAAACATTGATCCTTACAGATGCAGACATCATAGCGCTACAAGAGGTCACTGACGTGCTGCTTCCCTTTCTGATGAGATATTTGGGAGCCGATCTTTGGCAAGTCTTGCCCCAAATGCCCTCTAACCCCGAGGACATGTTCGTTTTCGAATCGAACTATTTCACAGCACTTCTTGTCAGAAAGCCTTTGCGAGTGTTTGGTGCAGGATGCGTGCCTTGGCGAGACACTGGGAAAGTTTCTGATCAGGGGATGCTGAACCTGGAGTTCACAGCATTTACCTTTTGCTTGACTGCAAACTAGGTGCGCTTTGAAAGAACAGCCATGGCACGAGCCCTGCAGTATGTCGAGATTGCACAAGAACACAGAAAGCTCCTGGTTGCAACTGCTCACTTGGAATCGCCTTTGCCGAACGGATGCACCGAAGACGTGCGGACAGCGCAGCTTGCCGAAGGACTGCGCGCGGCGAGTCAAATGCTGTGGTAGGCTCAGGAGGAGAACTGATAAGGCTTTCTTTTGAGACTGGACGGGACTGGACTGGTGTGCCGGTTGCTGGACAAAGTCCGGTGTTTTTTGCAAGAGAATCTGCCATCATTCCGATAGCTTAGAAATATCGAGGGTAGCGCCCAGTGCCTTGTGCGCGAAGACTCTGCAACTTGACAGAGCTAATGCTTGAGAAGGGCTGCGAAGCTGCCGCATGGCTTGGAGACATGAACTGGACAGCCCAGCAGGCAGAGATGCGCTTGGTGGTCGATCTCTGGGCCGAGCTCCAGCGAGGCCGTATTGGGAGCACCTACCATGCCAACCAAGGCAAGTATTGTGCTCCCAGAGCTCGCATGGACCGCGTGCTGGCCACCGGGGTCAATTTGCACGACTCCTACATCACTCGCATTGGGGTGGAAGAGTTGAAGGACATTGCCTGCTAGCCCAGTGACCACTATGGTCTCTTCGCGGCTTTGGCTCTGGCTCCGGCTGACCAGCACCACCTCAGTTGAAGACCCTCAGCCTCAGCTTGGGACGGAGTTGGACAAGCTTGGAGCAGGGCAACCGGCACGAGCGGGCACGCAGTCTCTAGCTCGCCGGAGCAGATGGGAAGCGGCCTGTTGGCGCTGGAGCTTTCTGGTTGACTGCTAGCCGTTAGCCCTCTCTTGCGCTGTCTTCATTCTGGGTTGATCTGTCGATGATGTCTGCCACAGCAGATCTAAAGAGAACATGTGGGCCTACGACCGCATGGCCCAGCAGCTGCAATGTACACAAAAAGGCATACTTTCATGGTTTGAGGCTTGTAGCGCCGTGGTTGCTTGCGAGAAATGCCATGACTCGTCTTCGTCAGGAAGATGCCACCCCGGTCCACAAGCACCAGGACTTGTCTGTAAACGGGTGGTGCGAGTCAGGGACGTTTGCACGGAGCATTGAACAGCCGCTTGTTTGCAGGACGGGGAGCGTACCATCAGGTTCATGCCCTGCGACGACAGCTCCGTTGGTGATACAGCCATGATTCAGGGCATGGCCGCGAGGTAGAGCACCTTTGGAACACTAGTTCAAGCTGCGCTCTGAGACGGATGAGATCCCCACCACAATCCCTAGCCTGTGCCCAGGAAGCGACTGAAGTGACCTTCACATTTGGCAGAACAGCAGCCTTGCTTGCCAGGTTCGGATGCAGAAAGGTCAGAAAGCTCGGAGTCATCGCAGGAAGCATATCTGCCACCGGTGTTGGTAAGCTCAATCATTGGAGCACACGTGCTTCTTCGCAGACGATTGCCGGAAACTTCCAGGACGAATGCGACGACCTGCGTGACCCCATCCCAGTCAGGCTGGCACTCCAGAGAATCAAGCTTGCAACGCTAGATGTCGCTCGCCTCTCCTAATTGCTACCCTTTCCAGGCTACCGGCCTGGTACCCATACGAAGCGCCACTTTCATGCTCGAGTGCCTGTGGAGCGGGCCTTACTTAGACGAATTTGAGCAACTACAAATACTTCTGACAATATATCTCAGACCTGCATGAGACGCTGTGCAGCAAGGCTTTAACGACACCGGGGTGAGGCCCTTGTCTCATCTCCTGCCAGCTGCTCCAGTGGCCAGGCGGAATGGGAGCAGAGGACGAAGGGACATCTCACATGCTTGACTCGCCACTTCCTGAAAGGTGCACAGGGTTAGACAAAGTCTCCGTCACCTGGCAGCTGGAGAACACAAGGCAAGGAGAACGCAATTTGAAGCGCAATCGCAAGAACTGCCCAGCGACTGCCAGCGCCTGTGCTCCGCAGATTGCTGGATTACACTTGGCAAGTTCGGGTGCGATCCACGGCTGCGGACAGCGAATGGCAGAAGGCGGGTTCTCGAAACCACCACAAAACCGATCATTCCTTTGGGGTCTGCAGACGGACCTCCTCCAGGTAGACCTGGACTCCGGTCGAGTGGAGTCTTCCCGTCTGTCTGCAATGAGCGGAACTCAGAGGTCTGTCGCTTTGCCACTTTACTTCAGGACTAGGCGCTGGCAGTTTGGATGTCGTGACCATCGTTTCGTCTTCCCCTGCCCGTCCAGGTCTTGGAAACACCGAGCCTGCATTGTTCAGCGTGGGCTGAAGGCAGACAGAGTCAATGTGCTAGCTTCGGGGTTGCCAGCAAGTTCGTGATGATTGCAGCTGCATCCTTCGGTCACGTCAAAGGGGGCTCGCCAGCTACGAAGCCAGGGCTCCCACCAAGACTTTGCACACCAGTGGGGAAACACACAAGTCACAAGTAGAAGTGCTTGCTGGCATGGCCGGATCGACGTCGAGTCGCTTTTCAGGTGCTCAGCTTCTGCGTGGAGGAGGGCCGGAAGAGCCAGCGGCCGGTGCCTGGTGCCTCCTACACGCTTGTGTTGGTCACGTCTGGCCGCGAAGAGGTAGATCGCAGGTTGAGCGCACCGGTTCCCACACTGAGTTCATTGCTTGGTTCGGCTGGCATCGATCCAGGAACGGTGATCTCCCACTACCCCGGACTGGTAACAGCCACTCAGCATTGCAAGCAGCATCGCCATTCCAGCTTCAGGGCCGGCCGCAGGATTGGATGGAGTTGTTGTCGTGTGTTCCAGTGGAGATTGATCGGACATTTCAATGTTACTTCGGACCAAAAGAGGCTTGTGAAGCCGTGCGGTAAAGCACCCCTCCCCACTTAGGTAGATTCGAAAGCTGCTCAAGACCTGAACAAGGTAGGCAGATCTGTCGCACAGGTGGACTTCGAGTTGATTGACCGGGTTGTCGTGAGGCGGCTGAAAGTGTAAAGTGTAAGGATTCTCCCGAGTGTGCATCCGAGTTGTGGCAGGCAGCGGGTCCCTCAGGATTGGGTGCTGCTGGCAGCTACGTCACGCGAGATCAAGGCAGGGTCTCGCAAGGCATGGTTTGCCCAAGCTTCGGGCTCATGACTTAAAGGCAGCAGTGCAGCCAATTGCAGCCATACAGCTACCGCAGCGGGTTCGCATACAGCTCGTGTCGTCCAGGATGTCGCCTGGAGTCTGGTGGAGCACCGGCGGAGGCGCAACAAGCATGAAGACTTCCGTCCCGGCGGACAACCCAGAAGCTCTCGCACATGGACAGGTTCGGCCAAGGTGCGGCTGGAAGGTGGGAACTGCGTTGCGCCACTGACCTTGTACCACTGATGCGACTCTGCAGTCGCTTGTGTTGGGAGGCGTCTATGGAGGGTGGCCAAAAACAAGGCTCCGCATCGTGCATGATTTGCGTAGGCAGCGTAGCATAGGATATTTGCAGCGGCAGGTCTACGAGCGGATTATTCGGACACACCGCCAGTGTGCTGTTCTGTGGAGCCAGCAAGCAGCCGACTCAGAGTCAGAGAAGGTGAGAGATGCATTTCCAAGGCCCCCAAGGCTCGGATGGATCCTAATCTGTTTGCAGCATCTTGGGAGACCAGACAAAGATACTGGCCACAACTTCGAGGCACAAACTGCGAGGTCTTCCCAAGTTTTTCACAGCTGTTGCCCTCGGGCCTGGCTAAAAGTGCGCATCTAAAAACTCGGAACTGCCAAACTACCGGGAGCAACGCACTGCTTGCTGCAGGCGACATGCTGCCAACATTCAAAGCAACGGGTCATCTTCCTTAGCAATTTACAACAGCCCGGGTTTGAGTGTGAATCGTAGGTTGAGCCTTGCCGCTGGCAATTTTAGTGGCTCTTTTGGAGTGTTGCGGGGCATCTCCAGGGCACGACAAGCATGTTCAGAGCACATCTTGGGGCATGTTTTTCCCCCAACCCTAGAGCTTCCTATAATTCACACATACTCCTCGGATGTGTCGACGAGGCTTGACTTTCCTTGTCTCTGTGAGCAGAATTGGCTTGCTGTGTCCCGCCGAGTTTGAGTAGTGTTTGCAGGGACCGGAATTGTGCACAGTGCCCCCCGGTTATGACGGAGCTCCTAAAGCAACAGCTGGCTCTGAGGTGCGGCTCCCTGCTCCAGGAAGCCGCGTCACCCTGAACTGTGCCATGGGAGTGCAGGCACCGCACGACCTAGGACGGACATACCAGCCACAGATTCGCTAGGGGCACTCTTAGCCGCTGCCAGAGTTCGATAAGAAACGCAGAGTGCTGAGCAGGTTGATGCAGACGAGAAGGAGGTCTGTCCAGACAGTGAATGGTGACACAGGTGTGCATGAATCGTGACATCTCAGGACCTGTCCCCAGATCGCAGCTTTGCATCTCGTGGGAGCCGGACAGCTGTGCCAAGCGCGTCGGCAGCATGTTGCCACACATGGAACGTGGGAGAGCCAGTTGAGCCAAGGCATCAGCTCCTGGTGGCCGGTGGTCCTCCCTGTCGAGGCTGGGTTATGCCTCGAGTATCTGAGGTAATGATGCAAAGAAAAGTGTATGACTGTGACGGCTTGACAGGAGAGCAAGGATCTGCGCAGCAGCACAGATCGGCCAGAGGAGATCACGTGCACTCTTCCTGAACTCTCAGGGTTGACGTCCAGCAGCGAAAGCAGCGTCAGCAGTCTTCAGCTGTTCGTCGAACATCTTGTCGCCAGCATTTGGTCGCATTTATGTTTGGCCGCTGCGCCGACCTTGTGTCGGATGCCCGTCATCGCCAGGAGCTCTGCACACGCGCAGATTTGAAGGTCAGTCTGGAGCCGTACCCCCGCATCCAGGCATGGCTTGCCAGCTTTTGGGAAGATCAATGCTATTTGTTTGCTTCAGTTTCTGTTGTGCATCATTGAATCATTCTGCACGCGAGAAGGTGCAACGAGAGTATCACTGTATGTCTCGATGCTGGGAAAACGAGCGAATTGCGAACTATACACTCAGTAGCTACAGCAAACAAACATAAAGAACGGACGGTTTTTCAGTGAGTCGTGCACTTGTGGCGAGGTGGTTCCGCGACATTGGATATGCGAGGACTGAAGTCTTTGTGGGAAGCTGCCGAAGACCCGAAAGCTGCCCAATCTTGCTCGTCTCTGTAAGGACCTGCCTGAATCCGAGCGGGCCAAGAAGAACATCTGTCCTGGGCTGCACAGCCGCAACCAGAAAGCCAGCTAATCTGGGCTAGCCATCAGTAGCAGACTCCGCAGTGAGAGCAGAAGTACTTGGTCTGACAGGCAGGGAGTGCTGTCGTACTACGTGTTGAGCTCAGTTGCATGATTACTTCAAGCGGAGTTGCAAAGAGCCTTTCGAGGGCTCCGTTTCCAAAAAGAGAGATTCGGCCCCATGGTGATCAGGCCAGTTCAACCGGCCCTGATGGTGAGGGCGAGGCACGCAGCAGCTGTCGCTTGCCGCCCTTATTGACTAGTGAGTTCCTTCCTGCAGGTTTGGGGTGCGCACCCCGAGCCTCGCGAGGCGCGGTCGATCCGGATCCGAGCTTCGTGGATTCTTCATTTCTGGCACCCTGCTTGTTGAAAGGCCGGGGATGTGACGCTGCAGTTTGGTGGCGCCCACCTCACCGAGAAGCCTGACGACGAAAGTTTCGCACAGGCGGGGCTTTTAAGCTTTTTAGGTGCTTTCAGGGCAAACTCAAAAGATCCTTGTTTGCACTCCTGAGGCGTATTCCTTTGGGTCCCGGGAAGTGCTCCACCGCTCGGAGAGGGCGGTGCGTGGGCAGGTTTTGAGGCTTGCTGCAGGCATTCCTCAGGCCCAAAATGCATTCCCCTGTTCTTCAGGGAGCTCATCTCGCCCGCGGAGGTTTACGTCTACTTGCAGTGCCAGCACCCAAGTCGTTTTGCTGGAGTGAGCGTGTGACCGGTCCCGAAATCCTTCGATCCCCGAGGCATGGACCGGCGCAAGCCTGTTCGGATCCCGCTGGCTTCTATCTGGAGTGTCCGGTCCTAAGAGCTTACATAGTAATGGGGCATTGGGCCTTCTATAATCTCAGGAGCCAGACTATTGGCCAACTCCCTTTGGAAGGATGCTTGTGCTAATCTCTCCCACTGTAGCTGTAGTCGCTCGTGTTCCATGGCCTGGCCTCCATGCTATCGACGAGGGTTTGCCCTTTCGATCTAACTCTCATTCTTCACGGTGCCTGCCATCCATCGGAAGGGTTTTGGGGCGGTGGGTTGTTCGCAATCGAAAAGGGCTGTAGCCTGGCATGCACGTCGTCCAGCTTAGAGTCCATGGTCGTTTCGTGCCTTGAGCCCTTCGCCCAAGCAACGAGTGCATTGATGACGCTCTTTCGGGCTTGGCAGCCGGACCACTGCTTTGGAGCCGCCTTGGTGTCCGCATGCCAAGGTCCAGCAGGCGGAGCCCACGCGCAAGGTCAGGAAGCGTCGGAAGGCCGCCCATCGACCTGCTGGCAGTGCTTCCGCGACCTTCTGACGCCACGGCCAGGTGCTGGAGTGGCTGGTTCTCCGTCACACAAGGGATCGGCCGGCTGAGGCAGGGAAAATCTTCGCGCGCCGTGCTCTTCCTGAGCAATTTTGTTGGGCAGGTCGTGGCTCGGCAGGGCTCCTCTGCAGGCTCGGGCCCAAGAAAGGATGACTTCCACCGCACTAAGCCTGATAGCTGTGGTATCGGAGCTGTTCTCTTCTCCCTACTAAGTCATGTTGTCTACAGTTCTCCAAAGCCACTTTCCCATGTGAGGTTTGTACAATCCCGTGTATGGCTATCTATGGGACGAGGCTGGATCACTCACAGATATTCAGCAGTCACCTCAAGCCGATATAATTAATCCATATAATGCAGGCGATCCAGCTGACGCCAGGAGTCAAGGCACCGGCAGCGCCGGTGTGCAACTCTTAAAGTCTTAGCTGCCCCCTTACTTCCTGGACCAGGTCTCCTTCTTCTCGCTCCCGGGCAGGGGCGATGCGACCACGGCCTCTGCTGAGAGCTCAGCCTGTTGTGTGCTCATGTGTATTGACTGACGTCCTCCGTGGGGTGTTTGTTTGCAGTTTGCGCACCACTTGCGAAGTTGAAGGTTGCGTCTGTTGCATCACCGGCTTTTCGGCGGCTGTCCACTGGGACTGCTGGGACTATAAGTAGTTGGCGCGGCAAGACCTCCATACTGAGTCAATCACTTGTTTTGCGAGGATCGTGCTGAGGACTGTTGCTGGCCTCCCAGACTCAAACTCCTTTACATGAGCCCGTTCGCCTTATGGTCCTTCGGAGCGTTCTAGACGTATACAAGACAAGATGTTCTCCAGACGCGGGTAGCATGCCTGAAGCTTAGGCCAAAGTCTCGCACTATGAAATCATGTTTGAGGAGGCTGGATTAGAATAGTAAGTTTACGAGATGTCTTGTACGGCCTCCATTATCTGAATCCCCATTGCTCAGTGACACAGTGACAGGTTGTTCCCGAGGAACGCTGGATATCCTCCTTCAACGTTGGGCACCATCCTGAGAACGGACATGTCGCCAAGCTAGAGGGTCACTCGTCCCGGCCATCAGACCTACGCGTACGCATGGTTGGGGGTTTTCGATTCATTGCAGAGCGCGGACCAAGGATGCACCTGCAGTCGGATGGATCCGTAGAGAGGCCACCTGCTGGACTGACTTTGCCAGCCTTCCACCAAAAGCCCTACCCTGATTCACAGAGTATAGGCTTTCGAATCATAGGGAAGGTTTGGACACACGGAGCTTCGCAGGACTTGCCCAGCTGAAACCAGCCGTTTCCAGTGTGCCAGTTTGACTCTGGTCCGTCCCCAGAACCACAGAGCAACAAAGGAGACTAGTGGTTCGCTTGGTTGAGGTGCTAGTCTCGCAGATTCAAGGGTTCGCCGCCCACAAAGTACCCTTTCAGAATTGCATGCTGGAGACCTGCCGACAAGAGACTTTTCCTGGTGGTCACTGGTAGCGTCGATGGCTGTCGCGTGGCGCGGAGGCTTCTCGCGGAGCAAAGCGCTCGCATCTCCACTCAGCCTTAGCCCTGCTGTTGCAACCCTATCAGACCTGCCGCGTGGACAGCCGCTGCGACGTAAATGTCATTCGAAGATGCGTTGGAATTCTTTTTGGGCAGCTTCCGCTGCTGCCCTGCTGACACGGCGCCAGGTCCGGACAAAGAGCAGCGTGACGGTCTTTGGAACGGCTTTAACACGCATGAGCGGCACGCTTGTCGCCCGGACCAGTGCCGGCAGAAGTTCGAGTGAAGGGCAATATGCCTGGGCGGAAGGCGTGTTGGATGAAGTTCCGCTGCGGCCTGCTTACTTGGCCGAACGGCTGGCACCAGCTTTGCCACAAGCCGGCGACCTTGCAGAGGCGTCGTCCTATGCTGCAAGACTGTTGGGCGAGCTTTCCATAGAAGTGGCCCACATCCTGACTCTGCCAGCAGTGCAGCGGGATGCTCGCTTGGATGGTCTCATGGATTTGAGCCCTATCCCTGCCGACAAAGCGAGAGCCAGAGAGCAGAGAAGGCGCCTTCACCAAGCCTTGGAGAGCATGGTGAGATGGTTTCTTCATGATCCTGAAAGCTACTTGGACGTGTCAGGTGGTGCAAGCACCGACGAGCTACGGACCTTCGCTGCTGCTGCCATCGTTCGAAAACGATCTTTGCGGAGGCTGAGCCAGAGCAACGTTGCCTTCTCAACCCGACCGCCATCAGACGTCATTCCTAGCTCTGATGAAGAACCCGATGTGGATGCTGCAGCTGTGCATGGCCTAAAGCAATGGAGTAAGGCCTTCAAGGAGTGGTGCTTCGAAGCAGTCGAGCGTTACTTCCTCTTGGACCCTGGCGTCCGGGCGGGGTGGCTGACCGGTGGACGAGCTGAGCGTTCCCGTGTCAGCGTCTTGACCGGTGAGTTGCGAAAGGCCATCGCGGCCAAGCGCTTAGAGGGTTCGGTTCCGCTCATGCAGGACGAGTTTGTTCATCTAATCCGGCAGCTCGCAGACAGGGTCTTGGTGCATCGCCCAAGGGTGTTGGACGTCGGCAGCTGCAACAATTACTTTGGTCGACTCCATGGTGAAGCTCTGGAGGTAACGGCTGTTGACATGGCACCGGGCCATCACTCCGTCCTGACATGCAACTTTCTGGAGCTGCCAGTTTCACCTCGCGGCGGCTTCGAGCTTGAGCGTGGTCTCGGCCTGGGATACGAGGCAAAAAGCCTACCGGCTGGCCACTTCGACGTCGTCATCATGGCTTTGTTTTTCTCGATCCTACCGAGTTCTGAAGCACGAGGAATGGCTGCAGCCAAAGCGCGGCAGCTCTTGAAGACGACACCTGGTCTGGGCCTCTTGATCATCGCCGATACCAAGGGCACTGTTGGCAGACATGCCGACTCCGAGGCAAGGAACAGTGCTTGGGTGGCAGCAGTTGAGGCCAATGGATTCCAGCTTGCGAGAGATCCCCAGCTACATCTCTCAAAGGAACACGTCAAAGGAAGGCCTGGATACTGGCAGCGTGCCTTCTGTTGGACATTCGTCACAGCCCCGCCGCCCGAAAGCTATGCTCCGACTGCCATCCCACTTCTTTCTGATGCCCGGCCTTGCAGAATACCTCCTGAACGACTGCAGGCGCAGCAGCGGCGCCAGGCAAAGAAGCGAGCGCGAGAGCAGAAGGCACAGCTCAGGGAGCTTGCCAAGAAGGCGAAGACGTCTCACAACGTGCTTGAAACAGTTTCGCAGCGGAGAAATCGTGGGGATCAGCTCTGGGATGTCAAGGCCTTCATTCAATAGCAGGACGGTTTAGGGTCGGGCGATGTGTGGCATCCCTTGCACAGCACACGGCAAGATTGCCAGGGATTGATTGCAGCTCATGTCGGGGCATCATGATATTGGGAAGGTGACACATGCGCTGCGAGTTATTCGCACTGATTTCTTCGATCTCTGTCGGCCATCGACAATTGCAAAATCGATCCCGGTGCTTGCTCTGTGTTGACGACACATGACCTGCATTCGCACTCGCAATGACAGCATCGTATCGACAGATAGGCCTCGAGTCAGAACATCTGGATAGCTTCTTTCCATCAGCTTGCTTAGATGTTGGTCAGCTCAGTCTCAGCACTATTCCCCTATGAGCGTGCCAAGGTCGAGTAAGTCCTTTCTTCAAAGCCCCGTTGTGCTCACTTCTTGGACTTCTTCTCTCAGATTCCGACCGGGACCGTTGGCAACAGACGGTTTTCGCTATAAGGCTATAACAGGTTGTACGTAGATGGTTTAACTTCAGATTCATACCAAGACTATTCGGCACCCGAGTTTGTAGTGGTCGCGAAATGCTGTTGCCACTTCACTTCTGTAGGTTAAAGGCGAAGACAATGCACTTGAGCGCCAGCCAGATGCACATGACTAATTCGCGATCGGTTTGCAGAGCCTTTCCTTGCGACGCCATGGTATGTAGTTCTGTTTGCGGGGCTTGCACATTCACGCAACTTGCCACCTCGCCCCCCAGATAGTTAGTTCAGAAATAAGTCAGAGTTGCGTGCGTCGTTCAGGCTGCGGCGGCCGGCGGTTACCATTCACGACATTCCAGACGAGTTAGAGGAAATCGAGGCGCTTTCGCCGTAGCCTTGCCGGCCAGCCTTTTGCTTCGCTTTCGTCAGGTGTCCATTGGGCTGTCCTCTACATCAGGGGGTGATTATGTTTCATGGAGCGGGTCTGCGGCCTGGCTTTCCGGGCCAGCAAGTTAACCGACTGCGTGTCACTGAGTATGGTGTTTGTGTTTCCAGGCCGAGCAAGCCATGCAGGGTGCTGAAGGCTTGATGCTTGGAGTTCTAACTTCGGAAGACCTCTCCCGTGTACAGAGAATAGAAAGGTCAAGAAGCCGCTGCTTCCTCCACTACCTCCAGTGCTGACGGTGCTGAGCATCAATCGCGCTTTGGTTTGATCAGGATACCTGTGGAGACTCCAGGCTGCTCCAGCAAAACATCACTGCACGTGCAGCCTACGAGCTGAGGTGCACAAGTGCGATGGGTACTACCCAAGGAAGCTAGCTGCCTTGGATGTATGCTTTGCTCCCACGATTGTTCTCGTAGCCGGTTGTTTGTTGAATGCAGGACCCTGCGCCAATTTGCTTCCGGCTGAGAATGCGGGAGAAAGGTTCACAGGAGGGCCTGCAACATCGCATGCGGCTCGAGCGAGTGAATTTAGATGAGAGGCAGTTATGGTCTATGTTTTTGCAGGACTGGTGCTTTGTGGACTCCTTCGGGCATGCTCGCTGCGGCCTTGGGGGAGAGCGGGTGTTCCTTTGAGCTTCGAGGACGGCGCTTGTATCTTCGGCAAGGTGACGAGGACACGACTTTGGCCTGGAGATCCCGTCTTGTGCCGCTGGCCAGTGCCTTTTGGAACTTGTGCGAGGCGACGTTGAGCCTCCCTCAAAACTCAGGTTGAGGATCTCTGGGTGAGTGCTTTCGGTGATTTCGACAACCGGAAGTCTTCCACTCCCGGGGCAGCGCGAGTCCGGAAGGTGCGCAGGCTGTTGCCGCAGCGCGAGCTTCTCACTGACGGTCTGCTTATGTTCGTCTCAGGTGGACCCTTCTGGGTCGGTGGAGATTGATTTTGTGGAGCCACAGGAGGACTTCTGCATAGGCACATTGCCTCAGAGGGAATCGTCAAAACTACAATAAACTACAATGCTAACGTGTTACGACTGGGAGAGCAAGGCGGAGCCCCTCCATCCGTGCTGAGCCCAGATTCCGGCCGTTCAGAGTCCTGAAGAAATCAAACCTCGCCGAGCTAGGCCTTGGCCTGCACGCAGTGCTCGCAAAAGCTCGGTGGTTCGCAGGCGATGCGTAGTTTTCCTTCTGCTGAGTTTTGAAAGGGATCCCGTTCGCTCTGCCTGCCAGGAGGAAACCCACACAATACCATTTGCCTGGATCGAGGCATAGCGGCGTGGATACAGTTGCTCGTGTTCAGCCGTATCTGATGTTGTGCCGGGAACTCCAATGCGTTGTCTTCAGTTGTTCCTAAGAGGCCGCTCGTGTGCCTCTATGACTCGAGAAGCTCATGCCCGCGGCAGTTTTGATCAAGCGGGGTGTCAGTGCAATGCCGCTGCGCATAGAACGGGTCTCCAGAAAAAGGTGCACGTGCATGTGTTGCACAATGTGAGTTTTGTGAAAGTCGGAATTTTTGGTCCTGCCTACGTGAGCGTCTTTGTTTGATTTTGTCCGCAGGCTGTGTTTATTGGTTCTTCAAGCTCGTCGAGCGTGACGCGGCGGCAATAGCATCGCCCTGTCGTTCTGCTGGGTCTGCCCCGTGTTTGTGGCTGTTTCTTCCAACATTGTATTACTATCGTGGTTTTTCATACATTATCGATAAGTAAATTGTAAAGGTCACCTTGCGCGAGCCGGAGAGAAGCGGAAACGTGAGAATGTTCAATCCCGTTAGCTAATGCGGATGCCGGGGGCGGAGGGGGGGCAGGTGATTGCGGACCGGAGACGCTCGAACAGGCATATTATTCAAAATGGTTATACTGATTACACAAGGACAATCATGCCGCAGATCATTACACCATTCCTCGCTCATCCCCTTTCTCCGTCACGACATGCTACGGCATAGAAGCACGTTCACTATCCGTCATTGTCGGTGTCATCGAAGTGTAGCAGAAAAACCATGATCTTCTTCATCTTCTACCCTGTGTCAAAATTAGGGCTTACTGTAGGGATGGTTTGCCAACAGCATGCAGGAAAGGTATGAGAAAAGTTACCTTTACAGAGAAAAGGTCAGGTTTCGAGGGTGGGGGTGGTGGCAGGGTGGCGGAGCAGGGGAACAGTTTTCACGATGCTTATGTGGTGCTGAACTTTACTATACTTTGCTATAAGTTGCTACGCTTCACTTTAGTTCGCTATGAACCGAATACAACATAATGCACCCTAATTAATGCGTTGTATATTTCGGGGTTATCGCATAACGATATTCCATACGAAAGCAAAATGAAATGATTTGGTACAATGGCCACAACTGTTGTACTGCTGAGCCATCATCGTCATTTTGATGGTCGTCAGTACGGCTCCGGCTCAATGCTCTCAGGACTGTTGGACGAGATGATGCGCTTCCCTGCGCCAGAGGGCCGCTTGGTTTGACGCTGTAACAACCAGAAGTCTGCGAGTCTGTGAGTCTCTTGAGGCCACCGGTAAGGCGGAAGGCCTCCCGTACTCCATGGGGCTCTGGCCGCGGCCCAAATGGCCGCCTGGCCGAGCACCTTGGCAGCATTGGTGAAGGTGCGCACGAGTCCTCTTCCCGAATTAGTTGAAGAATAGTACTGCTATGTCACAGTATGTGCGTTACTTGTTGTGCCCACTTGGCACCAGCTGAGGTTTAAGGAAACTCGGAAGCACTCAGCCGATGTTTTACAGCTGTCCAATCTCAAGTGCCAAGAGCTCGCAGGTGCTTCCCTTGCCATCCCAGGTGCCCCGCCAGAAGGTTCAACAAAGGAGACCGAAGTGCTCTCCGCTTCAACGATCCTTGGCACAAGTCATCACCTTCGACAGCCTTGATCGCGAAACCCAGCCAGCCAATCGTCCGGTGTGCAAGGCTTGATCTGTGTCTGGCTAGAATTCCGAGGCATGTACCGCGTCCATTCTCTCCGCAACATCGCCAAACTGATTCGAGGAAATCCTGCCCCTGAGCTAAGCGGATTCTCCCTGGCCCAACTGCAACCGATACGTTAGGTGGCCTTGTCAAAATGCGGCTCTGAGAGGAGGCCCTGCTTGCGGAGATGACTTCTGGGACGAGTACACGGACAGCGACGTCGATTCTGAGGAGGATGTCACTCGGCTGACGTCCATGACTTGTAGAAACCACATACATATAACATATATATATATATATATATGTAATATACATATATATATATATATATACATATATATATATATATATATATCTATAATATATATATATATATACATATATATATATATATATATCTATAATATATATATATATATATAGTGAGGAAGCACTGACAGGTCCTTCTTCCTTGCGGTCTTGGGGCGAACGAGGCCGTTAGCATGATGCCCCTGGGCTCAGCATCCGATCTCGAAAGGCCTTCAGTGTTGTGTCGCATGGGGCTTGCAAAGGCACAGAGAGCTTACTCCGGAGGACTATGAGTGGCTTGACTCCAGTTGGTGAGTGCTCGCTTCGATCTGAGACCTGGCTCCATGCAGATAAACCTGAGGAAGCTATGCAAGCTTGACGAAGCCATACCTAACCGGAGCACGCTTCAAGAAGGCCGAGACATGAACATGCCATCCGTTCGGCTTCTCTAGAAAGGCGAGTGGCCGCATGGCCAGGGTTGGTAATACATTGGACAACAAAACACCGTTCTGTCGTCAACCGTGAACATCCGGTGCAATCAAGGTTCGCTCTTGAATGTTTGAGACACGCGCGGCCCTGTTTCGTACTCTCGCAGCTTCCGTCCCGATTCGTGCCACTCCCAGCCTTGCCAGGTGAAGTTGAGCGCCTTCCCCGGGTGCGACTACGAGGCCAGTCGGGAGAATGTGGCGTCTGCAACGAGGCTGCAACGAGCCACATCGAATGCAAGATAATGCCAGCTGCGACGGCAAGACTGACCAGAACAGTTTACCCACAGTGTAAAGGCCCGCCGTATAGACGAGCAGGCTCGAAGTTGCGTGCGTGACGTGCACTTCGGGTAAGACTTCGGGCACAAAACTTGACAACATGCCTGAATCATCGTCCAGCTTCGGTTCCAGGTATGTGACATGACTAGCCAAGGTTTGTCGCATTTGGGCGGGGAGGCCGTGCAGCTGCCCTGCTCACATCTGCCGCCTGTCAAGGAACTGAAATCGGAGCTGGGATTCGACTTTGACCCACGAGTCAGCATGAAGACGCGATGTTGCCCCGCCCAGGTTCCATGAGCCATGCATCAAGAAGTGGCTCACGATTCTTGTCGCAATTTACACACACCTTTTACAAAGTTATGCCGCTGTCTGAAGAGAAAATTGCTGAAGTGGCAAAGTAGTGAGATGTGTTGTGCATTTTGGCTTCTGCACGCTGTGCCATCTCTGACCGAAAGGCAATGCAAGAACACCTGCCCAATTTGCTCCATCGAGATAGACAGGCTGAGCTCATGCGGGCGGTGAGGTAGCCTATGCACAGTTAGTTATTCCTTCAGTTAGCCTGCAGATACTCGGAGCCCTCGCCAGTCGGGTCGGATCTGTGTAGGCTGTATAGGTGATCAAGCTTTCTGCTTGCCTGCTTCCATCGAGAGATCAAGCCAATGTAACCTAGAGTCAAGCTTTTGTGGTATGTATGCATTCAGCAGTATTCTCATGCGACTATTGTAGCACTGTAGGCCACTAGGATCAGTAGGGCAGTAGGAAGTATAGCGCTTGACTTCCCACAGCATTTTGGTTGAATGCGTTCGGTTAGCATGTAAAAGGGCTGAGCAGGCAAGCAGGGTCTGAGTGTGGTTGTGTCTTTTTCGTATCCTTTGACTCGTGCTGCCCTCGCGAAGCATCCCGGCAGGGTGTGCAGAGGCAGAACTAGTCCACATCCCCCGGCTGGCAGTGGACATATCCTGTATTTCCTCAAGGTCTGTCTTGCAGTAGCCTCCATCCACAGCCCTGGGAATGGATGATGCCATCTCTCCGAATCATGCGCGTCCGCGCTTCCCGGCCTTTGCCAGAAAAAGAAGAATGCTGTGAGCTCGCAAGTTCTGGTTGGTGACGTCCTGCATAACTGGCATCAGTGCCTGAAGGCCGTCTGGGTTGCAGATGGAAAGAGCTACCTCAAGGCGGGGAGGGTTTGCATCGGCTTCCGGCCCTCGAAGGACATGTCGTACGTAGCACGTAGTACAGCTGCATACCAGCAGCATGTCCTGATGCCGCGAGGGTACGCCTTTGGCATCTCGCATTGAAGAGAAGCAGGCCAGGAAGGACTTAATGCTCGACCTGACACTCACGTGTGCCCCACCAAGGCACGTTTCGAGCGCATGGGAGGGCGAACCAGCGTGGCGCAGTGGCCTCGGTTTCATAAGCTCTGTGCGTACATTGAGCACTTGGGTCTACAACTCTGTCACGGACACGCATCCAGCAAGTCTTCCTCACATGTCCCACAGCACCCAACATGTCTTTCTCACATGTTATGCTGTGGCATGGCAATGCTGACTTCTGTTCATCCTCGCCTCTCGCGGGGCTTGCTCCAGAGTGAATGCTTACTGTAGTTTTCCTCAGCCGTGGTCCAGGCTGTTGCAGATCGATGGCGATGAGACTGTGCAGGTGGGGGCCGGAAAGCATGTGCAGGGAATCCCTTGTAGACAGTGACATCGCCAGTAGCAGCCCGTCGTGACATCTAGAATCTAGGGCATCTACAAAGGGACAGCGCCATCGCCCGGCGCTTCAAGCTTCCTGCAGCTCGCTGCCTGTTCTGCGATTGGATTGCCAAGGCTCGTTTGCTCGAACTGTTCTGGAGAACTTTAGCAGACAGACCACCGGAGCCCCAAAATGGCTGCTCTCGATGCTCGGGAGCGAGCCAGTGGGGGCCGCCAATCACAGTTTAAGGCGACCCACTCCCGTGAAGCCGAAGCAGCAAGGCTGCATGCAGCGCTGTCATCGCAGTTTCTCGCCTTGCCTTGAGAACTAGATGTTTTGGTATGACGCTCTTAAGTTGGAACACTGGTCCAGGTTGTAAGCCCGCTAAGCCCGCCTATCCCCAACCTTGGGCAAGCTTATCCTTACAATGCTGGAAGGCAGAGCGATACTCGTGCCAACAGACTGGACCAGATGCGACGCATCGCAATGGACTCTTTGCTCGGTTCCACGGCCAATGATGGCCAGGAAGAGGTAGAGGTCCAGGACGAAGAGGACGATGACCCCGCAGATGCTGCCGACATGGACATGGATGGTGGCTATGCTCATGGGAAGAAGATGCAGCGCCTCAGGCGCTTGCACCGGACATTGTTCTTCGCCAGACAGATGCAGATCCCAGACTGGATGCTGGTCCCACCAGAAGACTTAGCTGAAAGGTGGCTGGCACTTGCGAAGCCAGAAGGCGACAGGTGTTTGCTGCTGTCAGACGGTGGCCGAGTGCAGGTTCGACAGAAAAATGGTCTCATTCTGGAAAAATTCACTGATTCGCGATTTCCACGGGGTCTCACGATTTTGGATGCAGTGTGCATAGAGGGGCCTCGGTCACAGAAGCCAGTCAGGAACCAGATGCAGGATGATTCTGGTCTTGGGCAGGCCATGGAACAGCCATCAGTGGAGGAACCAACTTCCCCGATAGACGATGCGCTCCAGTCGGAAGGCGATGACACCATGGATGGTGGTGCCCAGGGCGGTAAATCATCGGGCAAAGGACGCCGACGGAGACCCACAGGTAATCGCAAGTATGCGATCTGCGACGTGTTGGTGTGGGGAGACATGGACATGGCCTTCACTGAAGCAGAGTTTCGCCTGTTCTGGTTGCAGTCGCGGTTTGAAGAAATGCCGGAGAAAGCCCCACGTCGTGCACGGCCACTCCAGCTTGTCCATGCCCTGCCGGCTACACAAGAGTGCATCAGGGATCTCTACTCGAAGGATTTTGGCTACCCCAAAGACTCCTTGATGTTCCTTCATCGAGAAGGAAGGTACCAGATCTCGGAAGCCGTGACCCCAGTAGCAAAGCTGTGGCGGGACCGTCACCTCAGTCGTTTCGTGGTGGACACGCCCGACGAGAAAGGTCAGGACTTGCCCTCCAAACAGTCGGTGGTTCTCGAAGTGCGGGGAGGTGGACGGCTAAGAACCGCAGATCGCCACTTGGTTGCGCAGTGCCGTGAGGAAGATCTCGACAAGCTGCAAGGACAGGCGAAGAACAAGTCCCTGGTCCGTTGCGACATTGAGGCTATTGACGTGGTGAGCCGCAAATTACAGGTGGTGCCTGTGGCTCATGTTCCAGCACGTTCACGTGTCTGGCCGGATTCCTGGGCCCGCATAGTCTTCCAGCACCTGCACCGTTCAGGGCAATCTTCATACATCTCTTTCGATGCGCTACTGCAAGCCGCGAGTGGGTAGCCAGACCGGCAAAGGCAACCTCTCGGAATGCGTGTTCACGCAATTGTTCAGGCACGCGCTCCGAGATGAGGTTGCAGTTAATGTCAGGCCTCACAGCAGGCTCTCGAGAGTTTTGAAACTCTGCTTCTGGCTCCATACAGTTCGTGCCAACTCGCCGAAAAAGTTGTTCGGCTTCCGCGCTCGTGGAGTCGTTTGCCCGAGCCGAGCACCTCCTCTGCATACCGCGGCAGGTCAACGACAAGTTGGGACCCTGGAGTTTATGGACGGCGGCTAGCATAGCTGCAGTGCCCGCTTGTCTCAGGCAGTGGACCGAGATCTTGACCACAAAAGCCACGGTCTCCAAGGTGCCTTTGTTTTGTCCGGCAGATCTGCTACAGAAAACGAAAGTACTTTTGCCATGTGCATCTTGTCATCTGCTGAGTCAGGTACAGCTGACTGCGCACGAGATTGTCGGCTTGAGGGCCGAGGTTGGCTACGAAGTTTCCGCCCCGCACTCAGCTGTTTTTTGCCGGCAAATGCCAGCCAGCTAAATACCGCGACCCGGAGTTTTAGTCGTACCAGCGGCCGAAGTGAAGCAAGAAATTCATCCTTCGACTTTAGATTGCCAGCATAGGGTGCGACGTGCCTCCAGGTGCAAGCGCTGACAAAGGGTGGATGGCAACGACCTCAGTGCGATGGGCTGCCCAGCAGTGAACCCCGGCAAGACCACACCCGCAGAGAATTGTAACTCAGACTGAGAGGCGAGTTGTGTGAAAGCAATGAATGAAACTGGCAGGTACTGTATGAGATAAGAGCCTTAAACTTAAACGACCTGACCGAAATCGTTGCAGGACGGATTGGAGCATGCCGGGCTCCATTCAGATGCCACGAATCGGCTATGAGCAGGAGCAGCTTGTAAGCCAAGAGCTCAGTCAGGTGTTTAGTTCTTTTGGGGCCGGGCTCAGCTACTCGAGTAGTCACGGAGCAGTCGAATCGCGGGGAAGGGATGCGGTTGCCGTGGGAGCTTCAGATTCAGGCGAGCGAAAGGCCAATGCCTTGTACCGCGCAGATCTCCTGCCACAGGCTCGCGGCGTTTCCACTGCACACCTTGCTGCAAATGCCTGCACCCGTTGGGCACCATACCGCGCCATGCCTTGTTCCACTTGAGGCAGCTTACAAGGAGTACGAACGGCCGGGGCCTCCGAAAATGCACGATTGACAGTTTGCACAACAGCACACAAGAGGTCCCTAGCTTTAGTAGCGCAGACGCATGTTGGTTCCAGGTGCTGGGACTCTGTGGAGGAGTGCCTCACAGCAGATCGGCTTGAGCGCATTCAGCAAGTGCTGAATGCCAAGAAGGACGCGACAAAGCTGGCATTATCGCAATCACTATATTGGCATGGACATCTCTGAGATGCGATGTGCTGACCAAGACCTAACTAGCCACACCAACCGATGGCATTCGCTGCAGGACCTCGCTCAAGAGTTCGACCTCGAGCTGTCCAGATGGCTTGTTGACATGGAGGGCCCCATCCGCGAGAGCTCTCGGATGCTCGAGGTTCTGAGCTTAAACCCAACGGATGCCATATCTTGGAGGCATAGTGGCATAGCATGGCATAGGTATGTTTAGTAGATTTTCTGATACCACTTTGCTATTTCAGCCGCGGAAGGCAGAAGCAAGGGTTCTTTTGCGAGATCTTGTCAACCGCAAGGCCGGGTTGATTAGTCATGACAAGCCAGTCATGCAAGGAGCCGGAGATCGCAGCAACTGCTTGCCCTTCTTGGCAGGCCAACTTGAACTATCGAGATCAAGCGACCGGGCGGGTTGCTCTCACCTACGCCCCCTGGCCTAATACATCAGAAACTCAGCGGCTCTGCTTCTCAGTGCCGGCACCTCGGGGTTCAGGCCTGTGAGTACGGCTGGAAGGTGAAGCCGGGGATCATCGAGGAGGGGGACCCTGTGTCATGTGATGAGTTCGAGTACATCCGAGACTCGCGTCTTGGTGCAGGAGCTCTTGCAACTCCGGGCGGATGTGGACTCGATGAATGCGCCTTGCCAACGTCATGCCGATACACTGAGTGAGGTATCGGATGTTGTGTCGTTGTTGTTTTTTCGTGTGCCTTCTCTCGTCTTTTGGTTTCTTCCTTCCCTTTCGTTTCTTGTGCACCTGTCGCTTCGCAAGAAATGTGAAGGTCTTGGTGCTAGTTTGCTTTCATCATTCGTCTGGTCATGGACGCGTGTTGTCCACGGAGTCGCACGATCTTTGCTTCGTGCTTTTGCGCACTGCGCACTGCTTTGCTTCAACGCTTGGGGCATTCTTTCGGTTATTTACGTGTGCAGTATTGTGCAGTCATAGGCCCGGAACCTGGGACCTGCCCCCCTAGGTGCCTCAGAGCAAGAACAAAGATATTCCTGACAGTGAATAGCGTCGCAAGCGTTGGCACGGCGTCTGCCGCAGCCAGGGCAGGTGCTCAGATCGGTGACAGTTTACGAACAGGCTTCCAGCCTGTAGCTGCTTCTAGAGTGCAAGAACGGCTTCTGCCCACATGTCGAACACCTCCTACCTATGGTGTCGATGAAAGCAGCTCACCATTCTCGTCGTGCCGCCGTCGTCAGGACGCTCGGAATACGGCGCTGGGAATCGCTGCTTCCGGTGGCCATGAGACTATTGCTGTGTGCTTAGTCACTTCTCGAGGTCTCTGTTCAGCATATATTTATTTTAGAAATCGATTGCCGTGAGGTGACTGAACATAAAAGTCCCAGCGCATCCCTTGCATGTCTGTCCAGGTAGAGGTACTATTGCAACACGGAGCGGACGCAACCGTCGTCAGTTTGCAGGCCTGCATAAGCATGCCATGTACTGTACTCTGTTGGTAGTACAGAGCAGCATTTGTCACTTCGGTCAGGGTGAGACGGCCCTCCTTCGAGCTCGGACATTTCGAGGCTCATCCAGATTCGATAGCTGCATGGACAGAGGTGCTGCATGATCGTTGGCCTTGCCTTGGAAGGCATGACGACGGCAAAGATCCAGGGCATCAGTCGTTGCAGGCCTCGCTGGCTGTTTTGCACGCTTTTTGGGTGCAGTGCTTGTGTCACTTGTTCGTATGCTTGGCAGGGAGCTCCTGCGGCAAAGTCGACTGCCTTGGGAGAGTTTTGAGGCCCACAAAGTCACAAAGTGTTTTGTTTGTATGTGCAGACGAGGCAGCACCTTCTGTCGGTGGCGCTGGAATACTTTCAGTCCCTTAGTTTCCCGTGTGATCGTATCGAGGCGTGTCTTCGTAAATTAGTCCTTGGCGTTCCTAAACTACAACCGACCTAGGTAAGGATGTTTATGCAGGTAATGCGGCTCTGGCGTGCTGGGGGTGCTGAGGGGCAATGCAGGCCGCTGTGGCGAACTTGGCCGACGATCCTCCGGCTGCTGCAAGGGCATTCCTGGAGCGGAGTTGTGGTGAAAGTTCCTGAACACATGCAGTTGCGACAATGAGTAGACATGAGAAGCAGAATGGTATTTTGGCAGAGGAGTTGGCTTTTCCAGGAGGGTCAGGACCTCACCGGCTACCGGCTAGGAGCGTGTTTCGGGATTTCAAACATGCAGACAAGATGCCAAGCCCAGGCCCAGCACCATGTTCGTGGCAGACAAAGAGGTCAAGAGAATCTCCAAACACGACAAGCTTCGACTCTACGAGCCCGGCTCCAAGTGCTTTGGGCAGGCGTTTCTTCGTGCCACTTGCTCGGGCTCCTCGTAAAACCAGAAACTGAGCAAAGACATGCCACTGATTTCATCAAGCTGTGACATGGCCCTGCTTGCAGAGACCGCGGTCCAACAGCAGAGTGACGGGCTGCCAAGAACCTGTGGCGTTAGGCCGAGAGCAGCTATTTGAAGGCACCTGGTGACGGAATAGCGGCACGAGTCTGCATGCAACATTAATTCAGAACATGAGCACGGGCTGTGTGTCTCTAATTACAGTACCTCTCCGGTGCATAAAAGTAGCTGCGACGAATCCCTGGAAAGCTCTTGGCCCTGCATAAGGCAGATATGCGAGATTCGCGACGTCGACGACGGTGGATATGAGGAGGCCTTGGCCTGCACCTTGCATTTGTCACGGCTCCGTAGTGCTCACCTCGGACCATTGCACCGCAGGCAGAGCGTCGTGGTCGATTTTGCCTTGCCGGCATGTAATTGCGTCGCACGGATCCAGTTGAGGGGCTGCACTTCCAAACATCAAAAATTCGCCTCATCCCCGACTCATGACTAATGCGGTGATGTCGACCAGGCGCACAAAGGCTTCTGCTGCCACAGGCCGCGCACAAGCTCGATCTGTCTCACAGGGTGATACCTACCCAACTTGGTCAGGTGCGTGCGGCATCATTACAGTGCTGGGCTCGGGTGTGATTGGTACAAGGCTTGGACCTCGATGGCCACAACTTGTACACTGAGGCAGCCGCCAAATAAAGAGCCCAGGCCTCAGACAGAGAGGCTCGCGATCGCCGCGCCCGAGAGTGATTGCAACGACTGTCTCATGGGTTGAAAAGGTGCAACTACTTCGCTCGCTACCTGCTTCACAGCGGGATTATGAGATGGTGCTTGCCGGAGGCGCGGCAAAGAAGTGCACTGTCATAGGCCAATCCGATGTAGCCTTATGCTTCCCAACGTAGCGTGGGCTTGGTTACGGGTCGACAGCGTGGAAATGTTAAGCACCTCAGATTGAGCCATTGTGCCTTAGGGGTCTTACAAACAGAAGACCGGGGCTGTAACGTTTCAATTTAATGGTGCGCACCTGAACAGGTCTTCTGCTAGGTTGTGGTGCTGGCGGTGGCGGAGGTTGCTGCTTCTGATGCTGTTGATGCTTTGATGCTGTCATCGTCACCGTCGTTGTCGTTATCATCGTCGCCACATTTCTTCTGTTCCAATTGCTGTGTTGTTGTTGTTGCTGTTGCTGTTGCTGTTGCTGTTGCTGTTGCTGTTGCTGTTGCTGTTGCTGTTGCTGTTGCTGCTGCTGCTGCTGCTGCTTCTGCTTCTGCTGCGGGTGCTGCCACTGCTCCTACCACGGCTGCTGGTGGTGGTGTTCTGGTGGCGACTATTTATGCTACTTGATTGTGCTCGCGCTACGGTGTTGTGTCTGTGGTTGAAAAAGGGAGACCCGGAACAAGAGTTTGGAAGAGAGAGGGCTGATGGTTCTGGGGGGTCGTGACCCTAGGCACAACTATGGTTCAGTGATGGCGCCAGAACTATAGCCGCTTCACTTCGAAGCCGTTTAAAGTCTAAGTGTGCTTTGCGGCTGACTGAGGCGAAAAAGCTGGCTTCCGAGCTCTTAGCGCACTATGCGAAGGCGGCCTTCTTTGTTGCACTCCATTTTCTTTTAGTCCCACTTCTGTGTCGAGCGTGACCACGGCGGGGTGCGATCATCAGTGACCGCGAGGGTGCAAACTGACACTGCTAGCGGCTAGCACTTCACTTGACACCGTCGTTGGCAGTGGGCGTATTCGTGGTGGGGCCATGAATAATTATTAACTTATTTTTTGTTGTGGGTGGTGGCGGTTGTTCCTGTTTGGCAATCGCCCGCGTTTCGCTGCCAAGCAGTAAGGTTGTGCAGTTTCTGCCGTCATGGGGTGGGGGGGACGTCAGGAACCTCCGTTGCGCTTCCGTTTGCATTCGCCCCGTTGGCTTCGATTTCTGTTCGAATTCGAACAAGGTTGTGGCAAATGTTCACCGTTTCTTGTGTCGGCTGCGTGCAATCTACATGTCATCTACAGTGCTTCCGGTACATTTGCCAAAGACTTCGCTTTGCCATCGCGTTTCCCGTGCAGTCAGTCAGCTTGCCTCCGGTGGTTTTGGTGCGCTTGCCTTCAGCTCAAAGATCCCCCTATTTGCGGTGCGGCTTTTGTTCCGTGGCGGTTGGGAAGCGAAGGCATTGGGCGATGCCTGCCTCTGTTTGTTGCCATCAGAAACGAAAAACAGCACGTTTGACTGCTGCCACCATTGTCATTGCTACTGGTAGTCCTCCTTCTCCTACTAACCTACTACTGTACTACGACGACGGCTCCTACTGTTTACTCCTTAGCGGCAACGCTGGCCGCGAAAGCATGCCACTGCGACTTCGCACAACTGCCACCCCTGCATGATGCGTCTGTTTTTGTCTAACTCGGGTCGCCTTCGCATGCTAGCAGAAGACTTCTTCGACTGACGTTTCACACGTGCGCACATATTCCCGCAATGACATGTTGACGACAAGTACATCTTCCTGCTGCGGCAGCTCTACAGAGGTGACGGCCTGATGCTTGTCAGGAGCTTCAAGCCCGGAGACTTGCTTTGAAGAAGCTGCCCAAGCTCACTCAAGAGGCAGGAGAAGCGCGACAGCGAAGACAACAGCTTTGTTCATGTGGCTAGCCAAATCTGTCTGCGCTGCCCAGCCCAAAACAAACGAGCACCTGAGTGTGTCAACTACATGCTGCGCATGCCTCCGCCGAGTTTTCATCAATCAACCTTATCCAGACGAGAATATCTCTCCCGTCGCTAGCACCATTTCCTGTGCCTCACCAGGCCGAGCATTTCCTGGGAAGCAGGCCCAAGTTTGCCGGTCGCTCCCTTCATCAGTGGCCCCGGACTTAAGATGTTCCCTTCAAAGCTGCAACCCGGCTTCTGTCGCTGGGTCATTGCATGTGTCAGTGCTGCCGTGTTTGCCGAGGCATGCGCATGACGACCTGCCGTGGCTGACACAGCAGAACGTGGTGGGAACCTTCGAGGCGCGAGTGTCCCTGAGACTGAAAATCTTTCAATCAAATAGCTGGGCAGGCTTTGGTACATTGCGGGGCTGTGGTTAGCATGGAGGACCGTGCCCACGAACCACTGCAAGAGAGAGAGAGAGAGTTGGCGAATCATTGCGAAGCCGACTTGACAATTGCAAAGCATTTGTGGCCCAGCGATACGCTTTGCTTACACCCTCGCACTTGATCCGCTCGCAGCCATGCGCTCTTCCTCGAGGCATCCGAAAATGTAAGCATGATCCAAGAGATAGGGAGCTCCTGCGTATCCACTCTCAGGATGTGAGTTGTCAACTGTCTTCAAGTCACTTCGCTGAGTGACTGTACAACGGGCGCGCCCTGGACCTACACGCAGTGCCGTGAACAAAATTGTAACCTGTTCCTATCGGGCGGCAGGATCATGATCCCGAAGCAGTCTTGAACCAAATGTCATTGATCTCAAGTTGTTTGTCCGAAACGTTGTGATGGTGACAGAGCACATTGTTCGCAGGCAGCTGCGCTTGACCCACTGCCTCGCTGTTGCTCTGGCAATCATGGGCCTGCGTGCGGCAATGAGGCGCAGTCCGGTTCAAGCTGCCTGCACAAGCCCTGTTGTAGATATTGGCTAGATGCATAGACCGTTTTCATCAAGCAAGTTGATAGATGATACTGCACTGATACGCTGTATACTGTGTGCGTGTGTATGTATACGAAATACATACATAAACAAATGTGTGTGCATATCTATATATATATATATATAAATATGTACATACACAGATATGTATACATATATATATATATATATACATATTAAGATCTAAATGTGTATATGTTTATATACACATACATGCATACACACACACACACATATATATATATATATATCATGCAGGAGCCAAAAAATACAAAAATACATACATACATACATACATACATACATCCACATACATGCGCACAGAGTACGTACCCATGGATACCCAAACTCGGTGTCCATGGCAGCTTGAAGGCTCGGTTCGACAGGCGATGACACCTCTTTCAGCTCCTTGACCTGCATAGATCCTTCAGTTGCACGCATGCCCGAGCGCATGACTCCGCTTCAAGTCCTGATCTTGCAGGGTTCAGAACCACATGCTTGAAGGTTGGAGGAGGTGGCTACTCCATGTCCAGATGCCCCTTAGTGACCTTCGTGTAGCCGAATAATGTCGAGGTCTGCCCCAGGCCCAGCGTGCTGCGGCTGCCGGCATGGTAGCTACGCTGCTGGCCTCCTCTCCAGGGCCGGTTCTGGCCGAGGCGGGAAGGGGGTCCGGGTCCGATCAGTGCATGCAACTCAAGAGCAGGATGCCGGCCTCAAGTCGCTGGAGAAGGAAATCGCGGCACGTGATGCTGGCATCGTTCGCCTCCAGGCCATCTGTGTCACAAGCATGTATCTTTGTCGTGGCGAGCTGGATTTGCCAATCTGAAGCACGCCCCGAAGGCAGAGAAGAAGAAGCCCAAACTGAAGCTGAACGAGGCAGGCACGCTTCCTCATGAAGCATGGACAGGCATGCTTGCTAGCTGGCTGGATGCTGCCTCGGGCACCACTGAAGCCGATACACTGGCAAAGCTATGGCCAAGCACATGAGGTGTAGTGCTGGTGCATTCAGTGCAGACTGTGATTTGGAGAATGCTGGCTCGCTATACGCATAGGTGGAGAAGCTTGAGAAAGAGGAGCTCCAGACCGCACGCGCAACCGAGCAGTTGAAGGACCTTCAATTTGCGAACTCTTTGTCACGGACAGCATATTCGGCCGAAGTGCGGTTCGCCTTTCTGGCTTCGTTGGTTGTTGGGTGCAGTGTTTCAACGAGTCAGCCCAGGAGAAGAGGATCGTTGAGGAAGAAAGAAAGGCGAAGCAGCAGGCACTGGAAGCAGAGAAGCGCGAGAAGGCCTGGCTTGCCCTGTACGATCCTATGAGCAGGTCGAATGTGCACACAACAGCCCCGTGCAAAGCCTGAGCACGCAGGCCCAAATCGAGAAGCAGGAGAAGGAAGCCAAGGCCAAGATTGACAAGGAGTACGAGGTCGAGAAGCAGAAGATTGAGCGTGAGGAAAAGAAGGCGATCGAGGAAGCCAGGCGAATTGAGAAAGATGAGAAGAAGGCGGCACGGGCCCTCGAGAAACAAGCCTTGTCGAAGGCCAAAGCAGACAGCGATCGTCTCGCTGCAGAGGAGAAGAGCGAAGCAGCCTTCAATGCAGCGACTGAGAAAGCAGAGACCGCCATTCTGGCCGCTGAGCAGAAGTCCGAGGAGGCCGTAAAGGCAGCCTTGGAGAAGGCGGAGAAGGCCCGAGTGGAGGTCGTCGAGAAAAGTGAGCTTCTGGAGAAGGCGGCTGCCGAGCGATCCGAGATCGCCATCGACCAGGCCACGGAAACCGCCGAGAAGGCAGAGAAGGATGCCGTCTTTGAGGAGGAGAAAGTGGAGCAGGAGGTCGTGGAAGCCGTGGACGCCATCGAAAAAGAGGAGCTCATCGAGGAGAACGCTCTCCTCGAGACTCTGAAGGACACGCTCTCGAGCGCATGGCAGGTTCTCGCTCCGATCGTCATCCCCGGGGTTTTCCTGGCCGTCTACGCTGTGATTGCGAGCTTCTTCAGCAAGGCACCAGAGCCGTGCCTTGGCACCGAAAGCGAGGACGTCCGAAAGATGATGGGCCGCACCGAGCGCCCAAAGAAGGCCAAGGCAACCCTTGACCCATGGACTGACGGCGGCAAGATGGCAGTGGGTGCCAGTGCAGCGGGAGCTGTCTTGGCTATGATGTCTTCGTCTCCCACTCTTGGCTTTGTGTCGGCTTCTTCCGTGCCAAGCCTGCGAAGCTCCCTCGCGCCACAGACCGCGCAGTCAGGATTGCAGGCAGTGCAGCCCAGGATGAAGCCTGCCGTGGGCTACAGTGCTCTCTCAAGCCCCGGAGCTCTTGTTCTTGGGGCAGCCTTGGGCGTTGCTGGTGGCATGCACCAGCGGCTCCGCAAGATCCGGCTTCAGGCACAGGCCAAGCCTTCTGAGATTTCTGGCGCCAACCCACTGAAAGTCGTCGTTGCCGGTGGAGGCGTCGGTGGGCTCCTCTTGGCCAAGGCCTTGAGCAAGGAGCCTACCATCAAAGTCACGGTTTTGGAGCAAGCCAGCGCTTTCCAGCGATTCGGTGGTCCCATCCAACTTGCCTCGAATGCACTGTCCGTCATCCGCGACGTCGACGCAGAGCTGTTCGAGGAGCTGATGAAGAGGTTCACTTTCACGGGCTACAGGAAGAATGGCTTGGTGGATGCTCTGCGCAGTGAATGGTATTGCACCTTCGATGCGATGAAGGATTCCGCTGAGATGTACGACCTGCCCTACACTGGAGTGGTGGACCGGCCCGACCTTCAGGAGATCATGCTGCAGGCCCTTCCTGAAGGTGTTCTTGTCAATGCTACCAAGGTGGTCGGCTACGAGAAGCTTCCCAACTATGAAGGTGTGAACATCAAAACCGAAGATGGCACTGAGTACAAGGCCGACGTCTTGATCGGTGCCGACGGCATTTGGTCGGCTACTCGTGCCCAGATGTGGAACGAAGATCAGAAGGGCCCCAATTCTGGCTGCACTTACAGCGGCTACATTGTCTTCGCTGGTGAGACCATCTACAAGCCAGATGATTACTTTGACGTTGGCTACAAAGTGTACATGGGCCCAAAGCGATATTTCGTGACCTCAGACGTCGGCCGTGGTCGCATCCAGTGGTACGCTTTCGTGGCAGTCGGCGAGGGTGAGGAGGTGCCTTCGGATGCTCTCGAGAAGCGAGAGTATGTGAAGGCAGCATTCCAGGGATGGTCTTCCCAGATTGCAGACCTGCTCGATGCAACTCCTGTCAACAGTCTGGAGGATCGATCCCTCTACGATCGGCCCCCCAGCGTGCTGAAGTCCTGGGCTGATGGACCCGTGGCCTTGTTGGGCGACGCCTGCCATGCCATGATGCCAAATCTCGGCCAGGGTGGAGGTCAGGCCATGGAGGATGCTCACTGCATCTGGCAGAAGCTGAAGGACCTCACTGATCGCAGCCAGGTGCCAGGCGCCTTGTCGGATTACTATGGCGCTCGAATCGTCCGGGCCAGCGCTGTTCAGGGCCTTTCTCGGATTGCTTCCGACATCCTCCTTGGCACCTTCACCTTCCCGTGGAAAGCATCCGAGGGTTTGTCAGGTCCTTACGGCAAAGGCCGGGGTGACTTCACCTACGAAGGTGTCGTGGTCAACTACCTCAGGCACATCCTGCCAGCGGCCTTCACGGCTCAGTTCACTTTCCTCTACTCCTTCCACCCCTTCAAGTGGACCACTCAGGAGGTCAAGAAGCTCGTGGGAGAAGACACTTGCCTGACATATGGCAAATGCACGAGTAGAAGCAAGCTGGTCGGAGCACAAACTCTAGTTTTCACGGACACCAGTTTCTTTTGGCGAGGAAGATCTAAGCTGGGCTTGAGGTATAGGTGCCCTACAGATGCTGCTGGCACATGCACACGAGGTGATGGACCGCCACAAGGTGGATGCAAACGCAGCTTGGACGAAACGTCAGGAGGCTGTGGAGAAGGGCGAGGCCGAGTGGCTGTTTGGAGTTGAGCCTGCCATACTCAATCGGCTGTGTATTGCTTCTGCCGCTTTCAATCTACGCGCTGCCCACGTGCCACAATCGAAGGTCAGAGCTGTCAGGGCAGTGAGCATGAGGGCCTCAGCCCGAAAGTGCGCAGCATGCCATGTTTTGCCGTTTTTTCTTACCCTTATCGATCTGTGATCTCTTGGAGACGTCCACCCCTGCACCGTGTGGCATGCGTCGGAAACGGGGCCTTCAAGATGGTAGTATGTCTGCTCTGGAAGCCTTTGCATGGCTTACATTGCACAGGTCGAAAAGTTCGAGGAGGAGTGCAGACAAGAATCCTTCTTTCAGCAACTTGGATGAGTTGGCTCGCACAAGCCGTGCCGCTGCATCAGAGGCATGTGTCTTAACCAGCTTCGCAGATCCACCGCTGGCTGTTTGGAGAGCTTCTAAAGGTTTCTGCACAACATTTGCTTATGCTGTCTGGCTAAGGCTTGCCGCGCAGACCGCCTCTCAAATCAAGTGAGACGTAGCCTGCCAGCTGCTTGCTGTTGTTTTTCATGTACACAGCTGCACGAAGCGCAGCACCATTTCAGATTTTTCCGCAATTTTCAGCTGTTAGACTGCTGCAACATTTTCTGCAGCCTTGCACATACCTGGCTGGCAGTCATTGGCTGCTGGCTGAATTCATCTTCACACCAACGTGCTGCCTCAAATTGCAGCTAAATTGCACATGCCTGTCGCCAATTGCCCGAGCCTTCGCCAGAAATGAAGCTGTTTCGTGACTTTCGCTGGGCATTTGGTGGCTATCGTTTGGCGACGTTTCGCCAAGCTGGGCATTCAGCCCGGCGGCCACTTGCCACGTTCGTTGGCAAATCTGCTGGACAAGCTTCGGCATCAGCAGCTTTAGCACCGTGTGCCTCTTGCGAGGCAGGTGCACTGGAGCCCAAAGGGCCAGAGGCGAGATTACTGCGCGTCTAAAACCCCTACGTCAGTTTCCATTCAGTGTCTCTGCACATAGCCGGGCTGGAACGTGGCAAGCTTGTGGTTCACGCAAGACTCACAGAAGACACCGCGAGCAAGTGAAAAAAGATCGCCCGGGAAGCATGAAGCCCACCCACGGGACGAAGATGCAGCTGCTGGAGCCAAGTGCAGGACTTCTGCAGTTGGGTCGGAGAGCTCAATGCGCAGCCTCGGCCTCGGTGGCGACAGCCTGTGCTGTTTGCCCACTCAGCTGCTCAGGATCTGTGCGAGCGATGGGCTCCAAGCCTCGGTCCAGTCGCTGCCTCTACACTTTGCTCTCGCAGATGTCAGAGCGCGGCTTTCCTGCCAGCGGTGCTGGCAAAGCTTCCGAGTCTGAGAGGGAGAAGCAGGGACCAGTTATTTTCCCCTAGCAGCCGCTTTCTGTCCAGAGCCTATCCAGGGCTTCTCGAAGTCTCAAACATGTCTTCTCAGATCGTTAAGCCTGTAAAGTCCCATCGACTCTACCGGACTGAAGTAATATTTCAATATTGCAACTGCTTAGGCAAGAATTAAACTTTGCTAGTTTGTTGATTAAATTGTAGTAGTAGTAACTAAAAACGCAAAGTAAAGCACCGTGCAATGTGAAGGGAACGGGGTGAAGTAAATTGCAGTGACGAGAAGTGAAGGAAGTGAAGCGAAGCGACGCGAACAGAAGCGGCTTAATAAAGCACTGTAAACTGGCGAAGGTGGGGTGCCTGGGACAAGAGGTTGCCGCTTTACTTCTGGGGCAGTGTCCCAGCTGAACCAGTTTATGCCAGTTGTTCTGTGAGAATTTCACGACTTCGCGCATCACACCGCTTTATGTGCGAATGCTAATGCTGTTTTCCAGTACCGTGGGCAACTGCCGTAGCAGCCAAGGTGCCTACACCAAGTTCTTAACCGGAGAGGCGCGGCGGACTCTGCGGCATCCAATATGGCCACATGACAGGGTGACTGCTTGCAAACCTTTCATATCCGCCCTCCTCTGAAAAACTCTGTCCCGCCTCCGTGCAGGTCTTTGTTTCCGGAGCTTCCCTATCTGCCTGCTTTTTATTCCTTGTCCAGCGTAGCTCCAAGACCCGCAAATTTACACCTACAGGCACAGCGTGCCGCTCGGATTTTCCACGCCATCGCAGCGGACCTTGCTCGGCGGGTTGGCGGAAAGGCCGGTCGATTTCGAACAGGGCTCAGATACAAGCTGCACCGGAATAGACAGCCTCCAGAGCTGATCGCAAGCTCGTGTTCCAAGTTTTTGCGCCAAAAGTGTCAGTGCTTGAAAGCTGCTAGCGGCTACCAGTCCTTTCGCCGAGCGAAGCCATACACTCAGCTTTCCAGAGAATTGACGCCACATGCAGGTGGAGTATAGGGATGCGCCCAACAAGCAGCCCTCACGCGTGGTGAAGAAACAGCTGCCCGGCAGATTATGGGAATGAACGGGTACAAGGCTTGCGGCTTACAGGTGCAGACTGTTCGGATGGAACAAAAGACTCAGCGATCCATGGTCGACCAGAGGACTTTATCGAGCCGCGAGTTCGGGTAGAGTTTCGGGCTTGGGACGAGAAGCAAGTACACCTCCCTAAGGGTCGTCATGGGATTAAGGAGGACTGAAGCCCTATAAACCCTAAACCGGCGCTACCTTTGCCACTTGTTGACCTGTGGCCGAAGAAGAAGCTTGTAACCTGCATCCTCGCCTGACCTGGTCGAGCGCGAGTGCCAAAACCTGCAAAGTTGCTCCTCGAGACGCGCCATGCGGGAGCCAAAATCTTGTTCGACGGATGTGGCTATCATGCCGCACTGTTTCATGAGATAAGTGCAAATGATTGACGGGCACACCGGCGGCATCCAGGTAATGCACAAGGCGTCTGTTGATTGCCGGAAAGCCAATTGACTAAATCAGTATCGCTCCATCCGCCGGCTCGCGGCCATAGTGTGGAGAGGCGTGAAGCTCCAAAGCCGCGGAAGGGTATCCATTCACACACAATGTTAGGCCCTTTGTTGCAGCAGTGCCGACGCGGGTTGATCTTTTCGGCTCTGTCGATCGGCACTAGGTACCCATATGTGGAGTTCGTTTACATTTGTTCTTTGCATCGCTAGCGGTCGCCGCATCCGGCGAAGCTGTGGGATCTGCTATGATTCGTGGTGATTGCGTCCGGGAGTCCAGACAAGGTTTGATTACGCCTCGCCCGGCCTCACACTTCTCCACGAGGCGAGGATGATAGCTTTAAGACTTGGCATGATGGGTTGCGATACTGATTCTGCACGTGCTGTCAGGCACTCGACCTCATGAGGGGCAAGTTTAGGCATGGAAATGTTGCAATTGTTATGCATTGACGCAAATTGCTGTAGCTGCACGGCGCCATAGACTCACATGCTGGCTTGTCCGGCTGTCCATTGTCCGGCTTTTTTGACTGAGTGAGAGCACCTGTTCGCGGCGCAGCTTCGACCGGCTTAAGGGAAGCATTAGGAGTTGTACAGTTCATCAGAGCGAACATTTAAAAGTGCCGCTGCTTCGCCTCGCTGCCGGGTATGCCTCGCCGGACATTGCGAGTGCGACGCCAGACATGCTCCGTGGCCGCGTGCCTCATGCTGGCCTGGACGCTTGTGGAGCCTGGTGTCGGATTCCTAGGAGAGTTGGGATCCCCAGACCTTTCCGGAGAGAAGCGCAAAGCCGCGGCCACACGTCTGGCCGAAGCACGGATCGCCTTGGAGGAGGCGCAGGCTCTCCAAGCAGAAGGCGCTTCTGCAGGCCTTTGGTACCAGGTGGTCACGGAGGGCGAGGACGGTATAGGAATCCGAAAAGAGCCAGATCTCAAAGCGGAGCGCGTGGAAGATTTAGTACGAGGCTCAATTTTTGAGGTTGATGACATCGTCCAGAATGAGGATGAGCCCATTTTCCTCCGTCTAAAGGACGGCAGAGGTTGGGTTTTCGACCTTACACCCATTGATCCTGAAACCCCAACAGTCAAGAGACTGGAGGGAGTGTATGCAAATGGCAAAACCGTGCAAGAGCTGGAAGAAGACGTTCGGCAGGCACGTCTCGATTTAGATAAAATTCGCGGAGCCCGACGTAGCTAGACAAAACCGCTTTTTACAGAGCCCAGTTCGAGTCGCGCTCGTCAACAAAAATTCAATCTTCCTCGTGGAGGGTTTCGAGTTGTGAGGCATCCAGGCAGACACTGAGATCAAAGCACAACAGCAGAGATTGTCAGTTGCCGACAGGCGGGCCTACCGGGCAGACTTGCCAGGCGCAGATGCCTTTGAGGACCAGTCGAGATGACAGATTACATCGTGTTGCATCCTAGTGGGTGTCCATCGTGCTTGGAGCCGACGGGCGTGGATTTGCTGTTTTGACTGCCCCAGGACGTGAGTGACCCGGACCCTCCGGAGACAGGTTCGAAGTGTTGTTGCCGGAGCAGAGCCCTATCTTTGAATGTTAGCCTGGTGCAGGTGTCGACCTGGTTCTGGGGCGACTAGGGCCTTCTTTGCAAAAGGCCTTGGAGGCGAGAAGACATGGCGGAAACCATGACATGGGCACCTAGAAAAGGTGCCGTTTTCTCATGAGCTGTGCGTGCTCTCTGCCTGATTACCACTGCATGTTCGAGAGGTTAGAGGCATCGAAGGCTCTCCGATTTCTTCGATTGCTTCGCAAGGGATAACCTCTTCACTCTTCACGCGCCCACAAACATGGTACACCTGCCAACGTGCCCGAGTTTCATTCTTTCCGTCGAGAAGGCAAGGGGGAAACACTGTATGGCAATACAATGTTACAATGGCATTGAAAGACACATGACGGATATTTACGCTTTGCTATTTCAGACCACGATGACCTTGAAGAGGTCTTGTCAAAACTGCTGGAGTTCCGTTGCCCACCCTAGCGCCAAGCTCGATGACCTGAAGGTGCTAGTTAGTAGAGAAGCATTCGTGCCACATTCAACTCAATGCAATTCACTTTCGATTTGATTTCATTTCATGTCAGTAGGTATGAGTGGAATTACTGTTCTCGTGATTTGGCCGGCGGCATGCAGGAGGCCTCAATGCCGGTTACATCCTGTTAGCCCACTCTGCAGGCGGTGGCAGCTGTTTCCTCTCCGACACCTGGTCGGCAGGGGGTGTTAGCTGTATTGCTACCAGAGTTCTGGTCTCAGACACGCTTGCTTACCACCGCTCGACTGCCAGATGTGAGGTTCCGACTTTCCCGTTTGAGCGAGGTGTGTCATCATTGCGTCTGATTTCATCCCGGGATTTTACACTTCATTGCGCACCACACCCTTTCAGACGGGTTTCCTTTCGCTTGGTTCCGGTTGCCGAGGCCGGAGGGTGCAGATGCGCAGGCAACAGAGCACAGCGAAGGCCTTTGAAGACTCTCCGCCGAGTCTTGGCACCGTGCTGTGTCATGGCTTGGCAGGTGAGGAGCCGTGGGCTGCCTGGGAGGATCCGAAAGTGGGCATCGACGAACTAATGAAGAGCGCAGGCTCATCCTGCAATGCTGACTTGCCCTGTATCGAGATGGAAACTGTGTGATGCCTTTTCCGGCTGCTGCTGCCAGCTAGTACGGGGTTATAGAACATTGTAGTGCACCAGCGCTAGCTTCTAGATGAATGCAAACAGGTACACACGAGGTACATTTGAACAACGACAGGATGGTTGAGAAGGTAGGTTAGCGGAGTTCTTGAGTGCGACGAATGAGCAATCCTGTCGTCCGGCGGTCCACACACAGACTGCGAGCTTGATTCCGCTACTGTTGCATCACCTGCAACAACTTCGATTTAGGGATCCGAAAAGGACATAAGCATAAGCATTTTGTAGGCATATCCCTACCTTCCTGGGCTTCGTTAAAGGGGGGGTTATATGGGATATCCCTATTCGAAAATTTGCTCATGAGCTTTTTCGCGGGCCTATCGATAGCGAAGCTGGAGCGGTAAAGTGAAGCACATCTACCTAGCTGAGTTAAAAAGAAGCCGAAGAGTGGGCCTTGCCAGGTGCAGATGCCGTCATAGTCATCGAGCACGCACTGGATGGTTCAGCAGATGCCCGCAGGCATTGCTAAAAACACTCAACCATGTCCGTGAGAAGATGGCTGCTACACTTGGAGCAAAGTTTTGTTTTACAGTTGGCCGCAGCCGTGTCGTAGCTTGACGGCAGCCTTGATGCATGAAGGCTCCTCCTTCGCGGGCTTCGACAAGTAAGGACAGGTTTGCATCTTGGCAGCCCCTCGCCCGGCATGCGCCGCAAGCCTGTGTGCCCCTGTTTCCATGCAGCCCGGCAAGCTCAGCACCCCTCAGCTATACTTTGCAAAGCGGGTTAAGAGGCCTCGGCTAATTTGTTTCCGTTTGCCTATAAGTACATGGGACCCATCTGATTCAGCACATGATGCACATGATTTGCAGTGCAAGCCTTGTCGGAATGACTGTAATTGAAAATCCGACAAGCTCGCCAGACAAGGAAAAGAAGACTATGCATTTGACGGACAACGGAGGGTATCATCTCTCTCCAGAAACTGCCACACTTTTCTAAGGTGGCCCATCACCCGACCCATAATGGAACTTATGTTGATCCACGCAGACCTTGACTTCTGATTTGAACATTTGTGGCGGGCGGGTGGCGTTTGCCTCACAGCAGTCACCAGTGATGCAGCCCCTTTGTTCCTGATTTCACCGCAGGAAATCCATCACACAAGACACGATGGAAGAGGACGACGTGTGGGGCGCAGAGGTCCCGAAGGGTCTCGAGATGTTATTCTCAGTGAGAAATGTCTCTGGCAGTGTTGAATGAATGTGCTACAAGGAGGCGTTCCTCAACCCCTTTTCGGAGAGGGCCCAGGTTCTCTTCGACATCCGCAAGTGTAGGACACGCGATTGAATTCCCAGCGCCGAGGACGGAACCTGATCCATCTTCCCCTGCTTTGAAAGGACAGGCGACTCCACGGACTTGTTGTGCACCGGTGGTCTGCTGGACCTGGTCCGTGGGAGCCTAACCTGCAGCACCGAAGAGGAGCGCGGCTCCAACGGGGTTGGGGGTCAGGCGGATCAGAGGTCCCACACAGTGCTTGCCAGGGTGACTGGCAACATGTATATAAGCTCTCGGCATCTTGGATCAAGCTTGCAAGGTGCACACATAAACACAACGGCAGAAGTGGCAGGCAGAGCAATCTTGAAGCGGTACTTTGTCTGACAGGTCTAAGGTGAGATATGCTCGACGCATCCGGGAGCTAGGTTTGACAGACAGCCTTGGCGTTTCAAGCGCCATCCGCCATGGCCCCGCTTGATTCTCCAATCCCTGTGACGATCATCGCGGGCTCCTTCGGCGTGGGGAAGACCACGGCCTGCAACCAACTGCTGGAGCTCTTGGCCTCCAAAGCCTGGGCCCCAGGCCGCCCAGGCCCCGGGGAATTCATAGCCCTGGTCTCTGAGAGACCGTGAGCTGAGCCGAGGAGCGCAGCGTGGCAGTCATCACACACCGCTTTGCAGAAGAGTCCCATGGCCCATGGCGCTTAAGAGCCACGCAGTGTCAGTGTTTCGATGTTCTAAAGTGAATGGGAGCTGCTGCCGACTGTGGCAAGGTACGCCTGTCAGCCTTTGCTCATCAATTCCTTTTGCTGCAGCTTGTTGGAGGAGGTATATGACTACGGCAGCGGTTGCCTCTGCTGCACGCCGGGTGGTGAGCTGAACCAACGCTTGAACAGTATGATTTCTTGGGGCATCCCGGTGGCACAGGCTTGCACTATGTTTCATAGAGTTTCATATTCAGGGGTGGTTGCTGGTACTGGTACTGGTAGGGGGATCAAGACCTTCTGTGCACAAGGTCAATCGTGGCCGGGCAAGGTTGAGATCAGGGCCGCAGCATAAGTTGTTGTATCAAGTAACTTGCCAGGTCAAAGTTACAGCGCGCATGCGACCGGATGGCATACACAGCAGCATGCGCTCGGGCATGGAAGGGTCACGCGAGCCATCGCGATCTGGTTTCCCACAAGTTTGTCAGTTGTTTACAAGGTCGGAGTCTCCGTGCGACAGTCCCTTCCATTCTTGAGTTTAAATATCGACCGGCAGTCACGCTCCGATAGGCAGCGCAGAACACTTGCAGCATTCATGCATTGACTTGGGTTTATGTAGAGTTGAGACTGAGACCCAAGCGAATACACAGTGAGCAGAGCCGCCGTGTAGGAGGTTGCAGCAGCCCGTTGCTTCTCAGAGTGGGGGTATCTTGGACCAGGAAAGTTGATCTCCGCTCAACCCCGGGTCAGAGAGAAGGACCAGCCCTCCTGAGACAGGGATCTGCTGGGTGGGCAGTGGGCATCCCGCAGTGTTCATGCAGCTGGGGTAGTATGTGTGAATTTGTAGCTTCGCATTGCT